TAGGTCTAACTAGGACCAAAGCTCACCTTCCGCTCTCCATGGCGCCCAAGGGCGAGGCCGCCAGAATCGCCTGAGCGGCCACAGCGGCCGCCACATGCTGCGCCTGGGCGTGTGCCGCCACCTGCGTTAGCACCGCCACCTGCTGACCGTAGTCGAGGGCCCCGCCGCCCATGCCGCCGCTAGCAGGTCCTCCGCCGCCGCCGCCGCCACCGCTGCTGCCCTGGCTATTGGAGCCGGGTCCGCCGCTGCCGACGATGCCGCCGACGCTGCTGTTGCTGTTGCTGCTGGCGGCGCCACCGCTGCCCACGCCGCTGTTGCTATTGCTGCCGGCATTGAGCAGCGCCGGTCCGCCGCCACTGTTGCTGTTGGCATTGCCGCCGCCGCCGCTGTTTGGTCCGCCGGCGCTGGCTGGTCCGCTGCCTCCGCCGCCGCCGCCACTGCCGCCGCTGCCCGCGCTGCCGGGTCCGTTGCTGTTGGCCGAGTTGCTGCTGTTGTTCCCATTGCCGGACTGGCCGCCACCGCTGCCGGAGCGCTCACGTTCCCGCTCGCGGTCCCTATCACGCTCGCGTTCGCCGCTGATCGCCTGGCTTCTGGATTCACCGCCGCCGCCGCCTCCGCTACTGCTGCCGCCCGAGGCGTTCGAGGCATTGGAGGCCACTGCAGCCGCTGCTGCTGCTCCCAGGGCCGCCGCCGCCGCTGCTGCTGTGGCGGCTGCAACGGCTGCCGCCTGGGCTGCTGCGGCCGAGGACGACGAGGACGAGGAGGAGGAGGACTTGTGGTGCTTGCGCTGCTGCTCCTTCTCGGCGGCCTCCTTCTGGTTCTTCTTCTCCTTCTCGGCCGCCTCCAGCAGCTTGAGACGGTCGCGTTCTTTGGCTTTGTTGCGGAACTGCTGGAACGAGTCCATGGCCGGCTTGGCCTTGCTGCTGCTCGAGCTGCTCGACGTGTGCGACTGGGGAGAGTTGGCCGAGGCCAGCGAGGACCACGAGCTGGCGTTCTTCAGGTTCTGCTCGTTGGCCGCCTTGAAGGCCTGCGCCAGCTTGCCCTGCGCGGCCGCCGCCGCCGCCTGGCTGGGATGCAGCTTCATGTCCGAGGGCGACTGCTGCGGCGGCAGGACCTTCTGGTGCTGCTGCGACTGCTGCTTGTCCGGCGGACTGGGCATCATCGATTCGATGGGCTTGGGTATGATCAGCAGCTTGTTGGCCACCTGCTGCTGCTGCTGCTGCTGGTGGAGCTGCTGTTGGTGTTGCTGCTGGAATTGCTGCTGCTGTTGCTGCAGCTGCTGCTGCTGCGTCAGTTGCTGCTGTTGCTGCTGCAGCTGCTGCTGGCTTAGTTGCTGCTGCTGCTGGTGCGTCTGCTGCTGTTGCTGCTGGTGTTGCTGCTGCTGCAGCTGCATCTGCTGCATCTGTTGCTGCTGGAGCGTGTGCTCCAGATCGAGGAATGCTGTGGCCGCTGTCATGTTAAGGCCGTCGAATCCGGCCATGCCGAAGTCGGCCACATTGAAGCCGTTGTTGTGCGCCTGCTGCTGCTGCTGCTGTTGCTGCTGCTGCTGGGGATGCTTCTGCTGGTAGGCCGCCGCCATGTCCAGGTTAAAGTTCAGCAGGTGGTTCCCGTTCATGCCGCCCACATTCTCCGCCCCCTTGGTCAGCAGCTCCGTCACGTAGTCCATGTGCTGCTGCTGTTGCTGCTGCTGATGGCCAAAGGGTTGCTGCTGCTGCTGCTGCTGCTGTTGCTGCGGTCCGGCGGGCTGCATCAGGTGCTGCTGTATCAAAAAGTTGTCCGTCAGCGACGACTTGCCCGTGGAACCGGCGCTGAACTCCAGCGAGGCCAGCGACTGCTCGACGGGATCATCGAACTGCGGTATCTGTTTGAGGCCAGAGGCCAGCGAGGCATTGGCCATCGCATCCCCATGCGATCCGCCCAGTGGATTGGTGTTGTTGTTGCTGCTGCCGCCGTTGTTGTTGCCGGCAGTGCCGGTGCTGTTAACGCCGGACGTCAGGGCAGCCGCCAGTGCCGCATGATGCTCGCCCAGATCACCGCCGCCGCCGCCGCCTCCCAAGCCGGAAGGCTTGTGCAAATTGCTGGCTATGCGTATGCCGCCGCTCGACTGATTGCCGCCCACAATTGCCGCTGCTCCAGCTGCTCCTCCTCCTCCGCCGGCTCCTCCGAAACTGTGCGGCGGCAGGGCGGCGGTGATGGAGCCACCCGGCGGCACTTTGCTCAGATCATTTGGTCCATTCTTGTTGTGCTGCTGCTGCTGCTGCTGCTGCCCCGTCGCCGCCGAAACTGCAGCACCGCCGCCGCCGGCGTGCAACATGTTACCACCGGCGCCGGGAGTGGGCGCACCACCGAAATTGCTGCCCGGCAGCGATGTCTTGTTGTTATTGTTCAGCATGGCAGCTGCCGTCAGGGGATTGGCATTGCCCAGCAGGTTGGCTACAGGAGGATCGGCAGGGATGGGGGGAGGAAATTAGTCACACACTTCACAAACAATTTAAACGAATGGCTCACAGAGATCTCCAGATTCTAGTAGATTTCTGTAACCCCCGTTTTCAAGAGACAGTACTTACATATTTGTGATGTGGGCGTGTTGGAGTTCACCACATGGTCCAGGCCCATCAACAGGGTCGTCGGCGTAAGCGCTCCACTCGGATGGTTGCCGCCCAGAACCACATTTATACTTGGATTATTTACCTGATGTGCCATCATTCATTGGGGGAAACAAGGGGTAAAAGAGGTAAAAATAGGGTAATGGGGAGATGAACATATAGAACATTAACTTTGGTTATCACGACAATGAGTGTGTTTTTCGTTTCATTTGGCAATGGGTTAGACGTTATGTATCATCAGGTTTTGGATCAGTAATTGATTATATATATAGTTATAGCCCTAACCCGTTGCCAAGCTCGTATTGTATTTAAACTATACTTATTTCCCCTCCCATTTTCTATGTTTTTGTACTCACATTGCTTCCATTCGAGTCTCGGGATTTTTTCTTGCGGGGCGGTCGCTCGTCACCATCACCTGTTGAAGGGCGAATTACAGAATATTGATGAGAGAGGTTGGCAGGGATCGGCGACCGAGGTCGCAGGAAGGATCAAAGCTAGGGGGTTCAATACAAGTAGCAAGGAGCTAAAAAAACACCAGGTGGATCTCGATTTATGCCAAATTGATCTATGCAATTTAGAAGAAATATAAAAAGATTTTCTATTCTCAAACATATTAAAATGATGTTACAAAAAATATAAATTAAAATTTATCAAAGATTTCATTACAATATTAAGGGAAAAAATCATGTTTTTTGAAAACCAATTTCGAGCATATAGAGAACCACCCTAACAGGCACAAGCGATAGTGATTTTAAGGGGAACTTAGATCGTATTCGTATATCGTACAAACATTACATTAGCAGTGGTTTACGGTTTACATAAATACAAAAATAGGTGTATTAAAAATACCTCTTACAATGCCGATCGATGAAACAATTGTGTCGTGGTGGGTTTTCGTTTTCGTGGTGGTGGTTTTTGGAGTTTGGTTCTCTTCACTTCACTTCTTCTTCACTCTTCTTTGTCTATCTGCCCCTTTCCGCCCACTCTCTCTCATTTTAATATCTAAACTGTAAATGAGCTGAAAAAGAACGGCCAGAGACCCCGCCCCCGCGACCACCCCCTTTTGTTTTTTTTTTGCACCAGAAAAAGGACAATGGATATTCGCAACCAAACCAACCTTCGAGGCTCCAATCGAAATGTTTAATCGGTTTTGTTAAAGAATCGTTACTTTCGCTTTTGTTATCGTTATTTTATCTCTCCTCTGTGAATAGAATGGGTTTTCTGGGGGTAATGAGGAAACACACAGATTGTTTTTTTTTTCTTCTTTTTTAATAAACATTTTCTTTTCTCATTTTTCATTTTTGTTTGTTGTATTCATTGCGTTTTTTTTTTAGTTTAGTTTAGTTGTTGTTTGTTTCTCTGCTGCGGTTGCGCTGCCATTTTGTAATAATAAATATTATTATTGTTTTTACTATAAATATTTAAATGTATGCGTGTGTGTGTGTTTTCATAATGCTAAATGTGTGTGTGTTGGTTTGTTTGTTTTGTTGTGTTCGTGTGTCGGTTACGTTACGTAGTTCGCGTCGCCCGCTCTTTTATTTTCTTTTTTCTTATTCCCTCTACCGTCTTGCTTTCCCTAAGATTTTCACTATGTATCCCTTCGTTTATTTTATTTTATATATTATTTTATTTCTTGTTTTTGTTTTTTTTGTGAGACGCCTGCGCAAATTGAAACCAAAAATGCACTGTATGTTTATATTTTGTTTTATGGAAATTCTGTTTTCGATATTCTTACAAGACTTTTTTGAGCGTGTTTACTGGTTTGTAAAGTTGGTGCTGTTGCATTTCTCTGCTCTGCTTCCTCTTCTTGAACTACAGGCTATACAAAGACACAAAAATCGGGCTTACAACAGAACAATTTCAATAATATGGTGTTAAATGGATGGAGAAGGCGTTTACGGGGTGTGGTGACCTCGATAAAGAAAGTACAAGAGCTACTATATTACGTACATACAAACAAGTTCGGACCCTAACAAAATAGTCAATTGGATTTGAAAACAAAAAACTAAATCCAAAAATAATCTGTGCCTAAATAATGCAAACTTCTTCTTGACTCTTTCTTCGATTTCTACACTACTTGGCTCTCCTTAAAATCTGCTTGCTTTTTTGCTTCGCATTTCGACCGTTGAGTTTTTCGATTTGAAATTAAATATTGTTACATTTTGTGTGGTGTGGTTTTGTTTGTTGTTATTTATCATTATTATTGTTGGATTTTATTTCATTTCGTTTTCCTCCTGGCAATTTTCATTTGATTTAATTTAATAGTAAAAATTTATATTTAAATTGATTTTATGCAATTTGTTTTGTTAATTTTTCTTTATTTCCATTGCATTATCTCATCATATCATCAATCCTCCTCCTCTCTTCTATGCATTTTTTGTATATTTTCGTAATATAATATATATATATTATTTTTTTTTTTTTTTTGAAAAAAACGTGCAAACAATGTGTAAAGGGGAAAGCCGACAGCCGAAAAATAAATAATAAAATGTTTTCAAATTACATTTAATTATTTGTTTTCTTATTTCTTTTTTTGTAGTTGTTTTTTGTTTTATACCTTCATTGATACATATATCTATGTAAATATAGCTATGTATTTAGAACTAGTTGGAGTTTAGTAGCTATAGAGTAAAAGACTCTATATACGTAACGCTTGGTTCCATTCCGATTCGTTCCGCTTTTCTCATACCGTTATACCGTTACTACTACAGACAGAGACAGACACAGTGGCAAGGACACACAGAGAGAGAGAAAGAGAGATAGAGATAGACAGATGAATTGTGGACCCGATCCAGTTACCCCACTCTAAGAAATCGATTGTTTTTGATCCCGATAGTTGGATTTGGATATTTTTTTAATTTGCGATCGGTTTTTATTGTTTCTTTAATTTATCGTTAAGCTGTCCTTTTGGGTATTCACTCATGGATTCCTTTTGGAAGTTAGCTGGAAGCATTTTTGTTTTTCGGATGACGGTTCTCCCACATTGATACACATAAAGTTAATGACAACAACAAATAATTAACCACGAATTAATCATATACAGAGAGATATTAAATAATTCTCGATTCTAAGTGATAAATGCGAGCTATTGTTCGCGAATTGTGCTAATTGCAGTGTTTCAGTTCCATTTGTTCCGTCTGGAAACACTTCTTTGAGGTTAAAAACGTTTAAACAATTAATAACATCAAATTCTACATTCACATTTGTCAGCAGACTTAATTAGATGTAAGTTGAAGTATCCCTCATTTTTTTCAGACCCCTCTTAGCTTTAATTTTGGGTAATCCCCCTTTTTTTTCTCTCTTTCTCTCTGTGTTATTCTCTCTTTGTCACAATTGCCTTACGTATTCGTTCCTTACGTTGTTTATTTGAATTACGTTATTTATATTTGTGGTTCGGTTTTTTCTTTCCATTTCTTTCAGAAGCTTTTTATACTTTCTTTTTTTTACACATTGTCTGCAAGTGTATCGAGAATTTCATACGTTTTTTGCATACTTTAGACATATATGGTAATTGTTCTTGTATTTTCTTTCATTCAGTTTGTTAGATATTTCATATTATTATGGTTATTGTTCATTTTCATTATTATTATTATATTTTACACATAGTTCTGTGAGGTTAAGTGGGTGTTTCGTGTGTGCGTGTGAGTGTTTTGTCCAGCTAACAAAAAAAACGAAACGCTTGGATTTCAATTACATACTGGATGAAGTAGGATCGTCGTCTGTGGGTTACGATTTAGTGGATTGGCTTTATCATATCAAGAAATAAGACTAGAAAAAACATGGAATTGGCACAGAAGTATTCGTTTCGAGGATTATGGGATTTGCACCCTGGAAAAGTTGGCGGAGAAGGTTCTTACAATTGCGCCTTGTTAGTGATATCAATATAATAATATATGGTCTGAATGGTGGTCTAGTGGGTAGAGTGCAAGCCCTGCAAACCCAGATTACGTTTTGATTTTAGCGGTAGGAGAAAGAATGATGATGATCTATGAAGGAGTTTGCTCCTAAGCTGCCTCTAAAAGATATTCTAATGATGGATAGTACTACTTGAGGGGTTATAATGTGTGTGGAGTGTGGATGATACGTTTTTATTTCGATTTATTTGTTGATCTTTTGTCAATCATGCATTCTTGCTCTGCTGTTTTGTAGATTTGATGGAGAGTTTTGATTTGGTTGATTGGTTCGATTGGTTGGTTTTGGTTTGGTTGATTGATTGATTGATTGGTTGGTTGGTTGGTTGGAGTTGGAATTCATTACTTTCTTTTTCAGATTGGCTGCCCCCAATACACAATTGCTTCACGATTTTTTCAGCATATTCTCATAATAATCATAATAATAATAATAATCATAATATTGGTAATAATAAGGTTTTTCTTGTTCTTTTTTTAGAATTGTTTTTTTTTTTGTTGTTTCAAAAAAGACTTAAAGTAGTAAAGAGTGTTTTTTTTCTTAATATTCTCATTTTAGATAGTTGTGTATGTGTGTTGTGTAAGATTTGTTTTCTCATTTTTTCATTTACAAATACAATTCGTTTAATACCTACAAATGCTTAAATATGATATATGTGTGTGTGTGGTTGTGTATATATAATTAAGTATATACTAGACCTAGATGTATATATATAGATATATATATATATATATCGATTATATAAAGTTTTGCCGTTGTGTTCGTGTTGTTCGTCTGTGTTTTATGTAGCTGGTTGGTAGAAATGAGGAGGGGTTTAAAATGTTCTAATGTCCTTGCGAAACGCCTGATATTGCGATACCCTAACACCCAACTCTGATGTGGATCTCGTGTGAATTGAAATAAAAACCTCGGTTCATTGGTTTGTCAGCAAATTTGTTTAACAACTCTGCCATGTGACTTATAATTCTCAATTTGTTTTGCTTCTAGTATGGTTGTGGCTATGTCCGTTATCGAAATATTTGAATAAAATACTTTTAAACATTGATTTAACTAGGGCATTTTACTCGTTTTCCAATTTACGTTGCTAAATTCCATATAATCGTGTGCATTTGTTTTCTTAGAGTAAATGCATATTGCACTTTGTCATGAACTTGGTTCTTGGGTATTCCTTAAAAAACGCTTTTTTGTAAAAATAAACAAATACAAAAAAAAAAAAAAAATTAAGATCAGAGTTGGGATCGCTTTTTGTGGGTTTCTTCAAATCAGACGTTCGGAAAATGGAGATGTTTCGTGTTTTGATCTCGGTTCGTCCTGTTAATTTCTCTTGTTGTTTGGCATTTAGCACACAAAAACATAAACAAAATGCGCTAAATTCAATAAATTAAAAATGCTCTATTAGAGCGAGACAGGGGATTGGGTTCTTGTGTGTCTGAGCGGGATGTATTGGTCAGTCGGTCTTTGCTATTACAATAATACCCTTATCATTTCCCCTCTCGCTCCCTCCCCTCTACTCTACTCCCCTACTCTTAGTTTTTGTCTCCTTCTATTTCAGATTTCAGTGTTGGTGTGCGTGTCAGTGTGGGTTGTTTTGAAACTAACTTAAAAAATGATAAAAACAAAAGGTAAGCAGATAAACACAATCGATAAACTCTACATATATCCGCATTGGCATATATACTTGCGTGTGCTAATAGGGTAACTATTACATTATAACTAGATAAACCTATATCCAATTGAATTAATTAAGCCAATCGCTCTGTTCAAATCTCCTGATTCTGTGCGACTTAAGTATTAACTCATCCTCATCCTCCATTATTTTCATTACATTTTTGTAATATATTTTTACAATTTTCAACGGGTTTTAATGGTTTTCCTAGATCCTAGACTGTTCATTACTCGATCGAATCTTCTGGTCTCTGACTTTAGCCACGCCCTCCTCTCCCCGCCCCGCCCCGCCCGACGCCTTATGTTTTTAGGTATCTAATGTTAAAAGATAATAGAATAAAAATGATGCGGTCTCGGTTTCTGTGTGTGTATATGGGGGTCTGTCTCAATATTCTGAATCTGTATCTGATCTGATCTGAATCGGTTTCGGTTTCGGTATCGGTTTCTGTTTCCGTATGTGTGTTTAGTGAGTTCTGTTGTTTGTTTCTTAAACAACGCATCTACATATATATATATATATATAAATATATATTTATATTTGCATATCTCTATGTATACTAATAAAAAAAAAGTTGTATAAAATAAAACAAACAAACAAAACGCGTCCTAACCTGCTTCACTGTCGCTCGAGTCACTCGAACTGCTATCACTCGAACTCGACGACGATGAATCGCTGGAACTGGAACTCGATGACACGGGATTCGCCGGCTGCACTGCCTCGACCTTGTTCGAGGCGGACTCATCTGCGGAAAAAAGAAGATAAAAATTCGGAATTAGTACTGCTAAATTAAGGGGCAAGTGGAGCGACTATATATTATATTATAATCAGAATAATACATACCTTTCTTGGCGGTTTTCTTGCTTGCCCCCAGCTGGCCGGTGACGTCCTGCAGGCGCTTTTCCAGCTCCTGCTTTTTCTCGGCCATCTGCTCGTCCTTCGACTTGCCGGAAGGCTTTTTATCTGCGATACGGGAAGATGGGTGGATCGTTTATTATCAAGTTGGGTTCAAAAGGTGGAGAATTGAGGGGGGAAGGGGGAATACTGATAGGGGATTTGATAGGGATCATGCTCGAAACAAAATGTACTCAAAAGTTTTGGACGGGGGGAAACAAGGTAAAGCGGCAATGTCATTAGCGATGTTACAAAAATCTCTCCAAGGTTCAAAAAACCAATATTAAAAGGTATCTTACTTTTGGACACCTGAATAATTTGAAAGGCTTTAGAGATTTCTATAACACATCGGCACTTCTACAGCATTCACAAGCTACTTGAGGAAAGGGAAATGGGTTTTACATTTTTTTTTCTTTTTTTTTGCATGCACTTGCTAACTACAGAAAGTTTTTCGGTAGGACCTCGAGTGTTGAGTTGAAATTCTTAATCATAAGGATTGACAGTTTAATTGATATATTTGGTTGGTTTATTTTTTCGAGTTTAACTAACTAAACATGACCACTACTACGGTTTTTGGTTTTTGGTTTTCGGTTCGAAATTAAAATCAAATTTGGAAGCGCAGTCAGCAAAGCCAAAACGGAAATTTGTTCGTCTGTTCTTATTTTTTGGATCGTGCAATGATTGATTTGAAAATTGATTTCTGATGGCTCTTCATGTGCTTCTAACTTGATTCTTGGACTTGGTTTTGATTTTGGTTTTGGTCTTGGTTGTTTATCTTTCATTAGCTTTTGCTGTTCTTGCTGCTGTTTCTTTTGCTTTTGCATTTGCTTTGGCTTTTGTTGTGGTCTCGGTTTAGTTACAAACTTACAATATGGCTTACGTGTTTTTTTGCGCAAACACGACGCCACATAGCTTTCAAGCTCGCGCAGCGTCGACGGCTTCAGCGTCTCGAAGTCGATCTCGATTTCGTCGGGATTGGAGTCACGCAGCGATGGCTCCCGGTTCTGGATGATGTGTACCACACGGCCCAGCTTGTCGCCTGGAAAAAGAAGGAGGGGTATTAATAAATAAATTATTATTAAAGGAGATTCCAGTACTAAACTCACCTGGCAACTTGTTGATGTCGAGCGACAGCTGGCGCTTCTCATCGTACGACATTGGCTTGGCCGTGTCCTCCTCCTCGGAGTCGAAGTTCATCACCTGGCTGGGCTTCTTCTTGCTGCTGCCGCGCGCCCCGGCGCCACCGGTACTGGCATTCGCACCGCCAACAGCGCCGCCCGCACCGGCCGAACTGCTGCCCTTGGCCCGCTTGGAGGCGTTGCCGCCGCCGCCTGCTGCTCCAGCGCCGCCCACAGCTCCCACGGCTCCGGCTCCGCCCGCAGCAGCTCCCGCTGCACCGCCAGCGGAATTGGCCGCAGCGGCATTATTGCTACCTCCAACGCCGCCGCCGCCTCCGCTGCCCTTGGCGCCTCGTCCGCCCTTGCTCTTAGCACCTTTACTGCTGCCACTGCCGCTGCCAGTTGTGCCGCCGGCTCCGGCCGCTGCGCCCGCTGCCAGAGCGCCGGCCAGGGTGCCCGCCTTGCCGCCCGCCGAGGCTCCCGATGCCGTCACTCCTGCACCAAAGCCGCCGCCGCCGGCCGAGGCACCGCCTCCCGCCAGCTGGCCAAAGGCCATGGCCACGTCGTGCACTTGACTGTGCAGTGCTCCCACATTGGGAACGCCGCCGGCGACGGCTGCTCCGCCGGGACCGACCAACGAGCCGCTGAGCAGGGCACTGAGATTAGCGCCGCCCGCTCCGCCGGCACCCAGGCCCCCGACGCCGCCGCCGGGCACGGAAACGCCGCCCGCATGACCGCCGGAATTGGCGCCTGCTCCACCGGCATTCGCACCGCCGCCCGAGGCGTGGCCATGATGAGAGGCTGAACCGGAACCGGAGCCACCGCCCATCGACTTCTTCTTCTCCTTGAGCTTCTTCTTCGCCTTCTTCTTGGCGGAGGCCTCCTCGGACAGCTTGCGAATCTCCTCCTGCAGGCCGAGCAGCTTGGACTCGAGCATTTTCAGCTTGGCGCTGCGCTCCTCGTCCGAGTTCGATTCGTTCTCCGTGTCGCTGGAGTCCTCGCTGGACGAATCGCTGGCATCGTGCTTGAGTGAGGAGGATCCGCCGTAGCCGTGACCGTGACCGTGGCCGTGACCATGCCCGTGACTGTGGGCGTGGCCATGGCCGTGCCCGTGGCCGTGTCCGTGGTGGTGGGCCGCATTGGCCACCGGCTCGTCGGGGATGTTGGCGTAGCGCATCTCGAAGACGTCCTGCAGCTTGCGACCCATGGCCACGACATCGTGATCTGGCGGATTGTACTTGTAGCAGTTGGTGAATATTAATCGCACGTCGGCGGCGAATTCCGGCGCGCTTTTGTACTCGCGATTGTCCATTTTCCGCTTGACAGTCCCCAGATCCATGGGCTTCTTGATGATGTCGTGGTAGTCGTGCAGGCCGAGCATTTCCGCGTCCACCGGCTTGTAGAAGGGCCAGGCGTAGCCCGAGTGCTTCTTCGAGAAGAGCTCCTTGAGGATCTCGTTGCACGACTTGAGCGCATCGGATAGCTTCTCCTTGTTCTTGGCCACCGCCACGCCGGCGACGCCGCCGGCAACCAGACCGCCAAGTCCGGGAACTCCGGAGACGCCCAGCGGCGACATGTTGTATCCCGAGCCCTGGAATGTAAGATCCTGTAAGATCCCATCGATTCGGTTTTTGATGAGTTGGTTGGTTTTCGTTTTGTTGTTGGTGTTGTTGATTGATTGGTGTAGTTGGTTGGTTGGTTGGTTGGTGGTGTTGATTTGATCGATCGATTGATTGATTGGTTGAGTGCAAAATCAATGCAAAATAAAAGAAAAAAGAAAAATAAACGAGCAAAAAGCGGCAATGGGTTAGCATCGAAATAAATCAAATGATGGCAGAGATCATGCGAAAGGAAACGCGGGTCAAATGGAAACCCTTTCGCATGTCGCTCTGAGAAAATGATTGCAAGTCAGGCGGATGGGACACTTGACCCTGGATGTTCTGGGTCAATTGCAATCCGCAGACTTACAGATTTATGAAATGGTTTTCGAGTAAAAGGCAGGACGGCGTATTGTGTATGATTTGATCGATTGTTGTTGTGCATTAGGATTTGGATAGTTTTGTAATTTTAAACTAAATGAGCTTGGCATTTAAAAACGAATGTAAACTTTTGATGAAGAATTTGGATTTAATTTAATATTAAATAAATAAGAGATTTAATTCAAGGATTTCAAATTTCTAAATGAGTTTGGCATTTCGAAACGAATGTAAGGGAACTTTAAGTGATTCAAATTTTGATGAAGAATTTGGGTTTCATTTAGGGTTTAATTTCGTATTAAATAATTAGGAGATTTAATTCAAAGATTTCAAATTTCGAATAGGCAAACAAAATGTAAACATTTCAATTATCTTAATTTACAAACATTGTTTATTCAAAGTTTGAATATATTGCAGTCATCTTCTGGCACACAATGAAATATTTACAAACAAAGATACGGTGACTCCTGAATATATACAAGCTCTTTCGGGGACTAGGATCATACTCATACGACTGGCGGTGCCCGTTACTCTTACCTTCTTGCCAATTACCTGACGATTCGACTCCCGCCGCGTCGCAATCTTGGCCGATTTGGAGTCCATTTGCGCGTAAGGCGATTCAAAGGCATTGGCCGTCGGCGTCGTTGTGTCCGCCTTCCGCTTGACGCCCTTCTTTATTTTGGCGGGCTGCTGCGGCGGTATCACGGCGTCCACTCCGACGCTCACGCCCGCATTCACATAGGCCTGCACGGCGTTGGCGGCATTGACGTTCACGGCTGGTATTGTCACTCCGGCGCCCGCTGCTCCACCGGCGGATCCCGCTGCTCCGCCCGCTCCCGCCGCCGCCGCCGCTGCTGCTGCTGCTGCCGCCGCTGCCGCAACTGCGGCCGTGCTGCCATCCAGCAGCGAGGAGCTATTCACCGCCGTCTGACCGGGTGCGCCGGGATAGCCGCCCGTTTGGCCCGCATTCAGCAGGCTGGCCATGAGGGCGGCGGCATTGGGATTGGCCGCAGCCGCACCTGCTCCTCCGCCAGCGCCGCCGGCCATCGCTGTCGTCGTCGTATTGGTACTGCCCGGTACCGTGTGCGGTGGCATTGTGCTAATCGGTGGTATGGACGGTGCACCGCCGGCCGTCGATGAAACCGTGCCGCCCATGGCGGAAACGGGTCGGGCGGCGGTCGCTCCTCCCGCTCCTCCGGAACCCGCCTGGGTTCCCGCTGTGCTCGCCGCACCGCCGCCCACTCCCGCCGTCGCTCCCTGCAGGCCGGACTGTTGCGCGGATGAGGCGGCGGCCGAGACTTTGGCGGAGCCACTACCAGCTCCGCTGCTAACGGCCGCCGAGGAGGCCGTACCGGAGCCACCACCGGTGGATGCTCCACCGCCGCCGGGCGTTGACGATGACTTGGGCGTAGCCGGCGCCCGTTGCTTCTTCTTGCCGCCCTTGGCCGTTACCGGCTCCAGTTCGAGCTCCTCCTTGGGCATCGATTCGATCTTCTGGAGGAAGACCTTCTCGAGCGTCTGGGCCATCACAACGACATCCTCGCCGGGCTTGTTGTAGACATAGCAATTGTTGAACATCGTGTTGAAGTCGTGTATGGTCTCCTTGGCGGACCAGTAGTAGTTGTTCTCCAGCCGCTTCTTGATCGTGCCCATGTCCATGGGCTGTTTGATGATCTTGTGGTAGTCGGGCAGGTTGAGCTTCTTGGCATCGACGGGCTGTTGAAAGGGCCACGAGAAGTGGTGCTTCCATATCACCTTCATCACCGTCTTGATCAGATATTGCAGTTGGTTCGTATTGCGGCCGGGTCGCTCCGCTGGCGGCATCACCGGTGGCTGTACAATGCCATTGACTGGCTCCACGGGTGGCTCGTAGCGAGGCGGTGGCTCACTGGACGACATGGTGGTGGTGGTGGTGGTGGTTGCTGTTCTTCTGGTGGTTCTGGTGCTTCAGTTTGGGTTGGGGATCTTGATCTGAATCTGAATGATGCCTGATGCTTATCCGACTGAGACGGCCGACACACACACTCCACCTACACACACACACACACACACGGGCCGTCTCCGTCTCCTCCTGCGCTCCTCCTTGTCCTCCGCTTCGCTCCTCCTTTCGGTTCTCCTTTTGCGCGGGCAATTGGGAGGGGATTCAGTGGGTTTAGGGAGGGGGGGGACTAGTCTTATGTGGCCGGTGACCACCTCCTCCTCCTGCGACTGGCTGCGCCTTCTTCTCCGGCTGTTCCTGCGACTCCTGCGACGACTCCTACTCCTGGTGATCCTCCGCCTGATCCTGTTGCTCCTGGTGCCTTTCTGCTTTCTGATAGAAATCTCTTCTTGTTCAAGGGATAATGCTGTGTAGTGGTCCGTAGTGTATGATGCTTCATGCTCAGCAATGTCTGTGCACTGTTTTGGATGGGAATTGAAATTAGTAGGGATCTCTTGAACAGGAGCATCTGCATCCTCACTCACCTCGCCTGCTCCAGATTCTCAGGGCCCAGGCTCCTCTCATTGGAATCGACTGGCTTTAGCTGATCCGAGGGCCAAGGATGGTACAACAACGACTGCTACCAGAGGCATTGTGGCTTTGAATCCTTCGCTATTAGTCGCAATATTCCAGCAGGCGACTGGCTGTAAATCTGCAAGGAAAACCAAGTTAGCCGGCATATTCGGTCATTTTGCAACTCTGGTCGTGGGACGTGGGATTCACAACACTCCTCCGTGAGGGTTACATAAACAAAAAATAAATAAGGGGGCCCCACAGAAACGAAACGAAACGAAACAAAAATAACAATTACAATTACAATCTCACTGAGTGTGCGGCGGTTGCCATTGCCATAAACAAAATGCGACAACGAATCTATGTAGAATGTAGAATATGCAGAGGCGGCAGGAAAACGGAAAACACAAAACAGAACACACGGAAGAAGCAGAAAACACGGAGAACGACCGAACACACACACACACACACTCGCGCACAAGCCAAGTGCAAAACAATCAATTCCGGGCACTTTTTAACAGCAATCAAATCACTCGCTCGGCAATATTCCTTGTATTTATTAGTTTATGCCTTCGACTAGAGATTCCAACCTTATTTTTAGTCGTTTTTTTGCAGTTTCTGCCGATTCGTTTAGTTTTTCCCTTCCACCGTTTTGGTCGTGAGTAGTTACTTTGCCGCCGTTTTGGCACAGAAGAGGCGAACAGGCCGCAGAGAGCAAAAAAAGAGCGCTCTCATTTTCTAGTTCGAAATTCGAGAGAGCGCCCGGCTCACACACACACACAACACTTGGGCCGCACAATAGAGCCGTCTCGCTTGCACTCGTGGAAAAGAACAAGAAAAAGCAGGCAAATGGCGCACGCCAAATGCTGCAAAATAAGTTTTGAAATCGTAAAAAAAATCCTTCAATAAACACAATGAATATCCATTAATGCAAAGGCACAAACCAACGATTAACTAAATCTCACCAACATAACGCCACACACACACGCACCGAAAGAGTAAGGCGTGTGTTGTGTTTGCATTGAGAGAAATTCACCACGCAGCCTTTTTTAAGTTGAATTCTTGTCATTCGGCATGATTCATTCGCTTTGTTTGTTGTTGTTGCAGCGCTAATGCAAACGCCATGCGAAAAAGGCAATAAAATGCACGTAATTCCAACGTTTCTACGTTTCTCACATTTTATTTAACACCCTCAACTAAGTGTGGTGAAGAGAGGAGAGGGTGGGGACAAGGCAGAGGTGTCAGCGAGGAAGAGGAAGAACACACACACACACACAGTTAAATAGTTTGCCTTTTGCCGATATTCCAAATTGACAGTGGTACAAATTGCATTCCATGCTGCACATAAAAATCCACTGTACAGTTTACTGATATGTGATTTTCGAATATGCATTTTGATTACGGTTGCTTTTTTGTTTATATGAACTTTTAATCTGTAGGTCAAGCACAAACAACTTGCCTTTTAGCCCCGATTTGTTTATTGGCCAACCAGAGTTTTTGTTTTTGTTGATGTTGCGAATTTATTTACACTCGCACTCACACTAACCCACATCTGTGTGTGCCGCCGGCCGGCAAGCGAATTTTGCTCTTCTCTCCATTTCTTTCTTTTTTGATCGCTTTCACTTCGGGCTCTACAGTTATCAGCTGTATTCGAAACTGCATTTAATTGTCCGTTTTGGCCCACTGTGTTTTTGTTAGTTGCCAAGTGTGCGTATGCGAGCGTGTGTACGTGCGTTTGTGACGCAAAATTAAACGGAAGAACAACGAATACAAACGAAGGTAGACAGCAAGGCCAGCGAATGAATATGACGTATGTATTTGGCCCATTCTAAACTCGCCTCGCCACAAATAAAATTGGAATATTAGAAATAACAAATATAAAATACACAATAGCGGGCGGGCGGCTCTCTCGCTCTCACAACAAAACAAAACATTAACTGGCACTCACACACACGCGCGCACACAGACACGCAAGCATGCTGAGCCGAGAGAAATTATGTAGTACAGTAGACTTTGAGTTTTCAACAGAAATTCACGTAGAACGATACGATGACGTAGAGAAGAGGAAGAAGCAGAGTGGCGGAAGAAGAAGCAGAGACAGCGACGGCATGCATTGGAAATGAAATTGGAAATTGGGAATGGGAATTTTGAAGAGGAGGCCGTGGATTAAAGGCAATGCTTTTTAGTAACTATTACGCCTAGATGGAATAACTGCTTCAAACCCCTGTCGAATTACGAGAAGCTGAGCCTTAAAATGTACTTCCCATTTAGCAAATAAACAAAGGTCAACAGTTTGTGGCAGAAAAGTGGGAAAAATAGCATTTTGTATTTACCTCGCCATTCTAGCTCATTCACCAGAAACACATTGATTAAGTATTGTTATTTTTGTCCTGCCTACTATCCATGCACTTGAACTACGGGCAAATATATCAATTTTATTTAAATAAATAAAATACTCAAGTGAAACACACTAGCGCACACATACTAGCGGATACTCTCTGCCGAAAGTTGCAGCTGCTCGGGCGTGCGCCAGAGCGAGACAACAATAGGGGGCTACGTAATACGTAGCCAAATGCAAATATGGCGGCATGTCGTCTGTATGTGTGTGTGAGTGTGGCATTCGAACGAGGAGAGCGGAGACGTTGTTGTTGTTGTTCTCAGTGCCATCGCTGTGTATCTGCACAAAGAGCGAGAGAGAGAGAGAGAGCGAGAGACTGATAAAGAGGCGTGGGATGGGGGGAAAAGGGGAGCCGCCTCTAGGTTAATAAATCGTGCTAATAGTGGCACGAATTTAAAGCCGGTTTACATGGCAACATGCAGCAAATGCAGAAGAAGCAGAGGCATCGGAAGAAGCAGCAAAAAATGAAGAGCAAGGCAAGGCACCCAAAAAGCATCAATGAATTCAATTCGAAAGAGAGAGAGAGCCGCCGCACCGCAATCGCAATTTTGCGCTTATTTACGATAAACATATCTTCAATTTTGCGCCCTGACAAGTAAACAAACAAATTGCGTTTGCCTATTTACGCGCCAACTAGCAAAGTGCAGCAGCAACAACAATTGCACCCAAAACGAGAGCGATAAAGAAAGAGGCGAAGCGAATAAAAACGAAAATCGTAATCCTAAATGCCGGTAAAAGAGAAAATTGCAGGAAAGGGAGGGAAAAGATATTTGTCAAGGAATGGCAGGAAAAAATATAAAGATCTTTAGGATGCACAGATGCAATTTCGACCAAGAACTATGAAAAAATCAATAAGTGCTGTTGGATTCTCGGGGTAAACAAACTATGTAAATAAAAAACAAACTACCTTCAATTCAAATAAAAGTATATTTAATTTGACGATATTTTGGGTTTCTAGAAGTGAACTTGGCCAACTATTATTTTTCCTACACCAACAATATTGCTTGAATTAAATGAATGTAATATTGACGAGAAAAACATTTTATCGGCACATCATTCAAAAGAAAAGGGTTGTTAATACTGCAGTTGGAAAAATCCGGCAAGAAGCAGCTGTCTTTTCGAAATCTCTCCATTTTTCAGGGTTGCTGACCCCTAAAAACGCGAATAGCCAGGAACCCAGAGGAAATGCAAATAGTCCTTGGAGCAAACCAAGAAATACCCAAAGAGGCACGCTTGGATTTCCACCCACTGCGTGGGAGGGGGTGGCAAAAGGGGGCGGGGGCCAGAGCCACGTGCGCTACACTTTTCCAACTTACATTTCCTTCGGATTTCCTCTATTTTCCTAGTTATCTTTAGTGAAATCCACACGTTCTGTTGCACCTTATCCGTTTATGGGCGATAATATCCGAATATATCCGAATGTTTTTTGATTTTGACTTTTGTTTATGGCCGCGCTGCTACTGCTGGTGGTGTTTGTTGTTGCTTTTGTTGTTGGGTGTGCTGCTTGTTGTTGCTTTAGCCAAGTTTAGCTTGTCGGTTTGGTTGTTGTTTGTTTGTTGTTGCTTAAAACTGTGTTGCGTTTGCGTTGTTGCTATTGTTGTTGTATTTAAATTGAACATATACAACATGCAGATTGTACACGACTGTTAAAAAGTTGCAACTGTAAAAATAAAAGCAAAAAAATTTAACACACTTATTTTGGCACTATACTTTTTGAGATTTTTACATTTTCGCGCGCGAGAGAAAGACTGCGAGCGGAGAGAGGAAGAGAGAGAGAGAGCAAGAAATCCCCAGCGACAAATACAACGTAACCCACACCGTAAGCGTCTTCTCAACGCCACCGCGATACGTAACACCACGTAACGGCCCGCTTACGTTACCGACGGCGCCGCAAAGCCGCAAAATCAAATAATACAATAACAAAATTGAGAAATTATAGATTTTCAATGTGCAAGTCGCTTTGTTGCCTGCGAAAAACAACTAGCGCTACTTCTTGTTTTTTGTTTCTCTTCTCTTCGAGTTTAACTTTTTCGCGCGCTTCTGCGTGTGTATTCCTCTTTTTCGTTTTTTTCTTTATTTGTTAATATTATTCACTTGGTGACTACACACGTTCACGCTCATGCCCTCACTCGCACACACACACACACACTCGAACACACTGACGAGCGGAGCGTTTCTGCTTCTTCCTCCTCTTTCGTTCGCTTTTGTTCCACCACCGAAAAAAAAAAGAAAAAAAAAATTGTCATGTCCATTGAAGTCTCACATTTTTCAAATGCATTTTTTGGCGCTAAAATAGTGGAAATTTCACAAGTTTTCCATATGCATCGGGTGCCCCGCAACTAGCACTTCACGCCGCACACAAATTTATATAATTTTTGCCGTTTTTTACCATAATTTTTAGTAATTTCTACACACCGATATATACGTACGCGCTACGATTTTTCGACAAACGCGCGAGTTTCTTGTGAGTAACAGTCGCTGTCGCCATCAAATATACAAAATTTTTTTTCGAAATTACTGAAAATGCGAATACACACGCACACATGGACGGCCGACGGGCACGAGGCGCACGCTCCGCTTCGGCTGAGCGGGCGGGAGCGGGACAGCTAGAGGCGGTTCCAAGATGGCGTCTTCGCGCGCTCTGGCGCCGTCCCGCTCTGGCGCAAGGCCCGGGGTGGGACCGCAGAGCGGGACGGCGACAGCAAGCGGGAGAGCGCGTGCGAGAGTGTGCGTGCCAGAGAGCGTGGTGAGTTTCGTTCAGCGAGTGCACTATCCCGGCTTAGTGAGTACACCCACCTGAACAGCAAGCACGCACACCTTTTAGTGTGACCAAACAAATACTGAAAATACTAAAAACCATCCTAAAGTCCACCCCTAAATCGCAGAAATTAGGGTGGCAACTCTTTTCGTTCAAAATGGCAACTCTCTCGCTTAGGGGTGCGTGTCCAAGCTAAGCTCAGCAAAGACACCCTCCTGACATTTTAGGGTGACCGCTTATCGACGAATCATCGAAAATCCCTATAAGTCCGATTACTATCTTTATGTTATGTTATCGATATGTAACGTATCATTTCATATGTTATGTTATTAATCGCATCGCATTCTGTTCCGCTGTTCCGTTCCAACAAGACAAAGCAAGAGTAAATTAATTTAATCCAAATTCAATTCCCGACTCCCGCAGTCGAAGTTATTTTTTTTGTGCCCCCAAAAGAGTTGAATTCGCCGACTGGGCGAAAAACGGTAACTGTAACGACTGCGTGTGTGCCTAGTGTGTGTGTGTGTGTGTGTGAGTGGAACTCCACAAGTGTGTGAGAAGCAAATCAAAATAAGAAAAGAACCGCCCTGATGGAAATTAAATTCGCGAATTACGGGCGAAAACTCAGCGAAAGTTGAACCAAAGTGCTGGCAAAAGTCAGATAACGAGTGAAATAAGTGGGGATTGCGTAAGAAATCGGTGGATTCCGGCTGCATTTGGCCAAAAAAGGGGGAAGAAACCTCGAAGCGCCCGTTTTTTTTTTCTTTTTTGATGATTTCATTCGCAGTGACGACACACGGAACACGCACACATGGACCGCCGTATCTGTGTGTGTGGGTTGTTTGATGAGCTAAAAAAATAATGAATCCTCAGCGAGACATTTGTTGTATTTATTTATTTTTTTTCCGAGTGCAGAGCGGCGACGTCGCGCCGCCAGTTGTTGATTACGCCTTGGTCCCCCTTTATCGCAACTTCCCCCACCCACTGATCGTGCACTCGAACTCGAAATCGAGTGGAGTACGTAGGCAGGAGCTGAAAGAGAGGCAAAAACCCAGTGGCGCACGCAGGAATTTGTCAGGGGGGTCGCCTTGTAACCGCTATAAAATTGTTTGAACTCATTGCAGGAGTTAGGATTATCTTTAAGTTAGTTAGGATTAACTTTTAGTTTAATAGGCTATCCTATCCCCAAGCGGACGCCGCTGGCTTGGTCACAACAGCCACATGTGGGCGGCCCAGATGTTGCTGGTTTTTTACCAGTGGGCGTGGGCGTCCGTCCGCGGTAAAAACTCTTTTTTCAGAGGGTATCCACTTTGGGCTACGAATTTGTAATGCATTATAAACAATTTGAATTTCGAGCCGATGCATCATTGAAAAAAAAACCTATGATAGAAAATATGACTAACTGCCCAACTCATGCATGATAATGGAATAAATATAAAATATCTCCAGAGTTTAATCAAGCGCGGAAGTGGTGAATTTTTCATAATAATTTTTGTTTACTAGTTTAAATATTTTGGGCTCAAGTTTTAGCTTTGATAAACATATGGTTATGGATCAGTTGCAAGTGTATCCAAACATGGGCTTTATAGTTTCTTGATTTTTTTTGGCGGCACACCATTTGCTGCAAATTGGGTTCTGTTGTGTGTGCGTGGGTGTTTAAAAATAGCCAACTAACACAAGGCGTATACGTAATCTGCAGCCCTTTTTTTCTTGCATAAATTCCATATTCCATGAATTTACGATTTTGATTTTTGAGTACGAGTGTGAGTATGAGTATGAGTGGATTGGAGTGAGTGATTCATTCAAGTTAGGGGGAAAAGGAGGCCCAGCGAAGCTGACTCAATGACTACTCATTGTTCGGCCTTTGTTTACATTTCGCCAGGAGCAGAGAGCAAAGAGAGAGGGGGGTTGGGTGGCCGAGAGAGCGTGCTAACGGAACGTGCTCGAATGAGTAATTCGGATTGCATTCGATGTTAATTAATCGAAAGCTCTCTTCCTTCCTCTTTTATATTTTCTTTTCTTCTTTTGGGACGCCAACAAAAAACACGCACACCCACACGCGTATTCATACTAGTCAGTTTCGGTGTGTGTGAGATGAGTCATCTGGCCAAGTTGATGGGAAAATAAAATTAAACATTAAGGTAGAGCAGAAGAAAAAACAAAAACAACGAAAAGGGGGGCAGAAAAAAAGCAGGCCAGCCGGGTAAAGCAGTGCAAGCAGCAGCTGGACTTTTACTAGGCTACACCAGCGGTGGAAAAAATAGTAGTAATCTGAAAACAAAAAAAAATAAATTAAATTTTGATGTAGAATAATGTAAATTTAAGTCTTTGTTAACTTTAAGGAATTTTGAAAACTTTTTTAAGCTGCAACCGCGGTCGAAATAATAAATAATAAAAACAAAAAAAATGTAATTTCAAGTCATTATTAATTTTAAGGAACTTTGAAAACTTTTCCCCAAATGATATTATTATTTCCCCCGCAACTGTAGCTCTTATAAGCAAACCACTCCAATCAGAGAAACTAATCAGTTCCAATTGGCTTTCCATTGCAGCCGGCGCACGGAAGAGACAGGGATAGAGCACCTAGCACTCGCACTCGCACAGACATCCTGCATCAACCTACACCCACACAGCCATGATCCTCGAGAGAAACCGGGGGAGCCAGGTGGCCCTTCTTCTGGTCGTCCTGCTGGCGGCCATCGCTGCCCAAACGGGGGCCCAGAAATCCGGCAAACTGACGACGACCGGGACTTCCTGCGCCTCCAAGCTGAGATGCAACACCTGCATCCAGGTGGAGGGATGCGGCTGGTGCCTGGACATCGACTTCAAGGGCCAGTCACGTTGCTACCAGAACGGAACCCAAAAGTGCGACAACCAGTGGTTCCCGCAGAACCTGGAGAAGATTCTATTGAACGAGGAGCTGACCGCCGAGTCCAGTGGATCCTCTAGTGGCTTCAGTGGATCCAGTGGCTATTCCATCGAGAGCGGCAGCAGCGGCAGCAGCGGCAGCAGCAGCAGTTCGGGCCACTTTAGCCAGAACTCCGGCGGCTCGATCTCCGGCAGCGGGGCGCACAGGTCCTCGGGCAAGATAGTCCAGATCCAGCCGCAGTCCCTGAAGCTCTCGTTGCGCGTCAGTAAGTAGTCTTCCTTCTGATCACAGAACCTATATCCTATCTAAACCCCTCTATCTTCCTATCCATCAGATCAGAAGCACAACCTCAGGGTCAGCTACTCCCAGGCGGTGGGCTATCCCGTGGATCTCTACTACTTGATGGACCTCTCCAAGTCCATGGAGGACGACAAGCAGAGTCTCTCCAAGCTGGGCGACAAGCTGTCCACGGCCATGAAGGAAATCACCTCCAACTTCCGCCTGGGCTTCGGTTCGTTTGTGGACAAGGTGCTCATGCCCTATGTCTCGACCATTCAGAAGAAGTGAGTATGGCCCTGAAAACTAGGAATAGCTAACGTACGATATAATTCCAAGACCTAGAATGATTCAATTTAGGTTTCCAGCAAAGCTAAAACATTTGTTTATTCTTTTTAAATATTTAATTAATATTTTTTAAGGCATAATTTTTATATCACGCGCTGTTTTTATGACTTAAAGTCCTATCAACTTAAGTTAAATCTAAGAAACTCTGTATTAGTCATAGACTTTTTAGCGAACGTACGATTTCTGGAGAAGCTACTGTTGATAGCACCCATGAGCAACGTCCGGTGGTGACCCAAAATATTTCCAAAAAATATCCTATCGCTAACTTAGAAAAAAAACAAATATGCTCCAATCATACAGCTGCATTTTTGTAGTACTTTTCAGCTAATTTGATCTAATTCAACCGCTAACTTTGTTAATTATTTATATACTTACAACCAACCCATGAACACCAACAAACAACTCGACAACAACATCACAACAACGATCGACGGAATCGAATTAAATCGAATTGAATTGAATCCGTAGACTCGATCATCCCTGCGACAACTGCAAGGCTCCCTACGGTTACCACAATCACATGCCACTCAACAATAACACCGAAAGCTTCTCTGTAAGAGACGATTAATCGATACTTTCCGTATAATCCGTATAATCCGTATAACCCTTTCCTAAATGTGCCTGCTCCCATTTCCATATTTAAATGTATCTATCTCGCGATCTATAGATCCATGTGCATGCCTACCCATAACTCCATATACGGCTATATCCCAAGTATCCACCCATTGCATCTCCTAGTCCCCTAGTCTAAGCTTTATCCCCAAGTGCTTGCCCATACTTTTGTGTTGTATGCCGGATCGGGTATCACTGATCAGCACATTCTATCTCTATAGCATTTCACACTCTATAGCATATAGCATCTAGCATAGTTATTGGTATCGTATCTCTATATCGTAATCTATTTGCACTCCTCGATGTTGAAATTGATTTATCTTTATTATCTTTTATGTTTCATTCTCAATCTCTTTATTTCATTGTGTACTCATCACTTTCTCCATATGAATCTGAATCTGAATATGAATCTGAATCTGGACAATATATATTTTAATGTCCGGTTGCTTGGCTCGAAATTTGAACAAAATATTACGAAATCGAACCCAAAATTAGCCTAATATCACCGTGTGATAATTGCGCAGCAACATATGGCTATCGTCACAGTGTCAGCTTCACCAATGACACGTATAAGTTTATTGTAAGTGGTCAAGCTGCAACGGATTCGGAAACTGAATTATCGCACCCGCATTTGAAAGCATTTTGGCTCAACATCCATTCTAACATGGCTCTCATTTCAAGTTTTTTTGTTTTTCTAATTGTTTTGGCATGTCATTTGCACTAGTGTTTTGCATGAAGTATGATTATTCCATTTGGGTTCGGATTTGCTGTATTTAGTCTAACTCCATGTTGTATTATTCATAGTTTACTTACAAAGCATAAATGGTGGTAGTTTTGCATGCATGGTTATTATGTTGTATTACCTTATCTGCTGGCACACTCTGAAAAATGCATAAAGTTCAAGGTTCTGAGCACGAAGAATGTATAGCTTTACAGCGTACGTGAGCGTCGAAAATCTAGCAGCGCAGCGGCAGAGAAATTGACTATTATGTAGATTATTAAAAATGTTTAAAAGAAATCCTAAACTAGAACATGTTAAATTCTGACTTGTATACTCTATCTACACTTAATATCAGAACTCACTTGAAGACGATCGAACTTACTTCCCTTGGCTACCCAATCATAACCGACTGTACATATACCATATATCTTATCGTAGTTTAGCACCAGTTGTTATCTCTAACCAATATTGATAGACGGCTCAAGGTTTGAAGGTGTTTGCCAAAAGAACAAATAATCCGACTTTACGACAGAGTGTGCCGGCTGCTTGCTTAACCCAACAAGTTCACCCAACTAACCTAGATCCCTCGGAGAAACCCGATGCTAATCCTTGATTTCTGTCCGGCAGGAAGAGGTGAAGGGCGCCCAGGTGTCGGGCAATCTGGATGCTCCGGAGGGCGGATTCGATGCCATTATGCAGGCCATTGCCTGTCGCTCGGAAATCGGCTGGCGCAACGAGTCCCGTCGCCTGCTGGTCTTCTCCACGGACGCCGGTTTCCATTATGCCGGCGACGGCAAGCTGGGCGGAGTGATTGCCCCCAACGACGGCGAGTGCCATCTGAATGCCCAGGGCGAGTACACGCACTCCATTTACCAGGACTACCCGAGCATCTCGCAGATCAACCAGAAGGTCAAGGACAATGCCATCAACATTATCTTCGCGGTGACCGCCAATCAGCTGTCGGTCTACGAGAAGCTGGTGGAGCACATTCAGGGCTCCTCGGCCGCCAAGCTGGACAACGACTCGGCCAACGTGGTGGATCTGGTCAAGAGTGAATACGATGTAAGATATAGCACTTCACTTTAAAGTTTAAACCTGATTTAATTGAATATTTCTGTTCCCAGAAAATCTCCTCTTCGGTGGAGATGAAGGACGACGCCAGTTCGTATGTGAAGATCAACTACTTCTCCTCCTGCCTGGGCAACGGAACCCCAGTGGCCACCAACAAGTGCGAGAAGGTGAAGCAGGGCACCAAGGTGACCTTCAATGCCGAGATCCAGCTGCTCAAGTGCCCCGAGGATCCGCGCGACTGGCACCAGACCATCCGCATTTCGCCCGTCGGCATCAACGAGTACATGGAGATCCAGCTGGAGATGCTCTGCTCCTGTCCCTGCGAGCATTCCGGGTCGCAGGGCTACGAGGCGAATGCCTCGATCTGCAACGGCCACGGCACCTCCATGTGCGGCATCTGCCAGTGCGACGAGAATCACTTTGGCAACAAGTGCGAGTGCAATGCGATGGACATTAACTCGAAGAACGGCAACGACGCTTCCTGCCGGGCGGACAACACGACGCTGACGGACTGCTCGGGTCGCGGCAACTGCGTCTGCGGCACCTGCGACTGCCACAAGCGTCCGAATCCCGAGGAGGAGGTGTCCGGCAAGTTCTGCGAGTGCGACAACTTTAGCTGCGAGCGGAACAAGAACCAGCTGTGCTCGGGCCCCGATCACGGCACCTGCGAGTGCGGCCAGTGCAAGTGCAAGCCCGGCTGGGGTGGCACCAACTGCGGCTGCCTGGAGTCCACGGACAGCTGTTTGGCGCCCGGCAGCACGGAACTCTGCTCCGGCCACGGCGCCTGCGAGTGCGGCGTCTGCAAGTGCACGGCCACCGAGCAGGGACGCTACTCGGGCAGGTTCTGCGAGAAGTGCCCCACCTGCTCGGGTCGATGCCAGGAGCTGAAGGACTGCGTCCAGTGCCAGATGTACAAGACGGGCGTGCTGAAGAACGGCGATGACTGCGCCAATAACTGCACTCTGTTCACGCCCGTTGGCGTGGAGAAGGTGGAGATCGAGGAGCACAAGGACGAGCAGATATGCACCTTCTTCGACGAGGACGACTGCAAGTTCATGTTCAAGTACAGCGAGGATGGACAGGTGCTCAAGGTCTCCGCCCAGGAGAACAAGGAGTGTCCGCCCAAGGTCTTCATGCTGGGCATTGTCCTGGGCGTCATTGCGGCCATCGTGCTCGTGGGTCTGGCCATTCTGCTGCTCTGGAAGCTGCTCACCACCATCCACGATCGCCGCGAGTTCGCCCGCTTCGAAAAGGAGCGCATGAACGCCAAGTGGGATACGGTGGGTTATTCTTCTATCCCTTAAGTGAACCTCTTGATTAATATATTTACTTTTCTCCATTTACAGGGCGAGAATCCCATCTACAAGCAGGCCACCTCCACCTTCAAGAACCCCATGTATGCGGGCAAATAAATCCGATATCTAACTAAATATTAGGGAAATGTAAACTGTCTGTGCTTGAACCGGAAATCAGAAAACCAACCACCAAACAAATCCACAAGAAACCAATCTTCAGAACACTTCGACGAAGCTGCTTTGCCCCGGGTGCAAAACCACTAAAGTCAACTGCCATTGAAACGCGTTCTAAACTAAGTCAACCTTACATATATATATATTTATATATACATTTACACAAGAGCCTTTATACATTGCGTATACTTAACGAGCAAACGATTTGTGCCTTGCAACATATTTTAGATTATATCTATACGTATATAAACGAGCAAGAGAACAGACAACGCACAGCAGCCAGAAAAGAAAAAAATAATAAGAAATAACAGCCAACAAATGAGCCACGAACGATAGTTAGAAATACGATTTTTGTGTTCTTTATTGTGCCCATAGTATCCAAGTATCCAAGCCAGCACATGAATTTGTATTTTATTTTTGACTCTTAATTTGTAATTTGTATTTTTTGTTTTGTGTTTCCCTTACTGTTCCCTAATTTTTATCATTAACGAGAAGCCACTGCAATATAGTGATGTATTTAACCGAAAGCGAAACCGAAATCGAAACTAGAAATGGGATACTTAACTGATACTGATCTGCTACCCTCCCAAAAAACCCCTGTCTAAATGTTTTTCTATTGTTTTTAAAGCTAACTTTACAATTAATATTTAAGCAATTAACATTTAAGCTTGTAATTGTTAATTTCGAAATGCAAGAGTGCCCCAGGGACAATTTGTTTTTCTGTGGAATCTTTACATTTTTACTTTTGTACGTTTTATTTATCAAGAAAAAGAAGAGGGCAGAAAGGATGACGAGGGAAACCGCGTGGAATATAGTCTCTTGTGTGTGTTTTTTGTTTTATTGAATTTCGACCATTAATAGTAAATTAATACTACTATATAAATATATATTTTTTGCCATTTGTACTGATTACTGATTAACATTTAAAGTAATGCGAAAACAAAACAAGAACTTTTGTATAAAAAAAAGGAAAATTATTTTGAGTAATTTTATTGAATGAAAACCCATATGAAGTGGAAACACTAGCAATATAAAACGATGTGGAAATTAAATTGTTTGACGCTAATTTTAGTGAAATAAATAAAAGTAAATTATAAAAAAAGACAAGCAGTTGTGGTAATTCAAGTTTATTTCCTAGGGAGTTATAACAATTAATGCGTGTTGATTTCAAGTTAATTTATTAAATGAAAAAGCGATACAAAAAATAAGGTATGTTGGTACAACGCTAAAAACACTGAAAATCAATCGTACAAAGATCGAGACTTACTGGCGTACGGGCATGCAGATGATCACTTCCCAGGGAGCATTTAAGGTTTTGTTTTTCTTTTCTGATTTTTCCATTCCCATAAAGGCGACAAAACTCACTTTCAGACTGTATTCTGCGTTTGATTCAAAAATATCAATGGAACAGAACAGCATGGCATTAAGTATAACATTCTATAACATTCTGTATATATCGTTGTATACATGCTTTGATATTCAGTTGGGGGGTCTGTTTTCGAAACAAGTCTAGGCATTTTTACGTACTACGTTGTGTTGGATATACGGTTGCGGATCGGGGAGCAGCGGTTCTATGTACACGATAATATCGATTTCGGATTAGTTGGCTTAAGTACGGCTTGAGGTTGATGTTGCGCTTCCATGCATCATCGGATCGAACGTCCTCGGAGGCTGGACGGCTCTTGGAGCGCTGCGCTCCTCCTCTCATTATCTCAATTCCGTTGGGTTAGCAATCGCACAGCAGCAGAGTGGCCAGGGATCCCAGCTATCTCTTTTTGTTTCCATCCATTAGCTGCAGCAGCGTCTCAGTGGAAGATGAGGTCCGCATCGGGCGCGCCCTTCTGGTGCTTGAACTTGTGCTTGCTGGGCTTCTGGTAGTAGCTCTGCGTGAAGTTGCGCTGCTGCGGCGGCAGGAGCGACTCCTGGTAGTCCTCCTCCTCGATCCGCTCCGTGATGTTGAGCGTCAGCCGCTTGACCTTCTCCTTCTCCTCGCGTATCTTCTGCTCCTGCAGCTTCAGGTTGATGGCCAAATGCGAGTCGGAGGGCGCCACGAAGGACTTGAACTGCTGCTTGCCACCCTTGTTGCCGCGCACCATGAGTACGAAGGGCACGGCTACTCCTGCTCCTCCTCCGCCTGCTGATTTGCCATTGCCCTCGGACATCTCAGCACCTGGAGAGCCCGGCGCCACGTCCGCTTTTGAGATCTGCGAGGCATTCACGCTGCCACTGCCCGTAATCTGTTCGTAGGACTTCTTCTGCAGGCGCGCCATCATCGGCACCGGTATGTCCTTGGCCGTGGCCTTGATGGGCTCCTTCAGGCGCTCCTGGTACGAGTCCGTGGTCATCTTGTCGTACAGATGCTCGAACTCCAGGTCCTCCTTGGACTTCTCCGGCGGCGGAGGCGGCGGCAGCGGTGGCTCCGCTTCGTTATCGTTCTCGTTCTCGGTCCAATCGTTGCTCTGCTCGGGCTCCGGCTCCTGGCCGGCCACCTGCCGCTCCCGCTGGTCGTTCGAGGAGCCCGAGTCCTCGTCGGTGGCCTGCCAAAGCAAAAAATCGAATGAGAAATCTTTTGTAGAGAGAGTATATATTTAGCAGAACAAAACCTACGCCCTCGTCCAGCTCGCTGATCTCGCTGATGGTGGCCAGCGAGGGATCCTGGGCACTGCTGCTGGCCCTCAGCTGCGGATAGAGCTTCTCCTGCAGCTGATCGATGGCCGCCTTCGCCTGCTCCAGACTCTTGTACAGCTTCAGCTTGGGCCGCACGCCGGCCAGGCAGTCGCGGTAGGTGTGGTCCACCAGGATGGGGAACAGGTCGGCGCTGTTCTCCGACTTGCTGAACACCGGATGCGACTTCTTGAACCAGTAGTAGTGCTGGAAGAAGACCAGGAAGTAGTCCAGTCTGAAAGGCAATCGGCTTTAGCTTAAAAGCTTAAAAGAATCTCCAGCTCGACTCACTTTTTCCGCGTGGCCTGGCTGGTGAAGTAGGGTCCGCAGGTGTCCAGCAGCATGCAGGCCAGCTTCAGCCGGAACAGGCTGTCCGGCGGATCCAGCGGCGAGACGACGCTCTGGTCCAGCGACACGCCCAGCGAGATGATCGAGTAGAGCGTGTTGAGGATGTGCGTGGACTCGACCAGCTTGTAGTTGTACATCTCGCCCAGGTACTTGGCCATCGCAATGCGCCGCTGGGCCATCCTCGGCGAATGGATCTCCAGTCCGGCGCGAATGTCCTCGAACACGTTGTCGATCACAATGGTCACCGCTCGCGGCTGATAGGAGCTCAAACCCGAGACGAGATCGGCCAGGCAGCGGACGAGCGGAAAGCGCAGCAGATACGCCTTGCTGAGGCACTTGATGGCATAGCAATTGGTCTCCGGATCCAGCCAGTCGATGCGGCGCAGCATCTTGATGCAACGCTCCACATTCTGCTTGCACAGCTCCTCGAAGATCAGGTGGCGGATGTACTCGTGCATGGGCGGCCGAACGGTGGGCTCGCGCTTCGAGGACTCCGGCGGCTTGACCAGATAGTAGACGCTCTCGATCTGCGCCGAGTGACGCGAGTCCATGGCCGTGGCCGTCTTGAGGCGCAGCATCTGGTCCAGGAAGACGTTCATCAGCAGGCGGGCGTCGCGGCAGTTGTACAGATAGACGCCGCTCACCTCCACAAAGGCGCAGGCCATCTCGATCTGGTGGTGCTGGAAGTCGCGCAGCAGCATCTTCAGGCAGCCCAGAGCATCGAACTTCTTGAACAGCCCGAACTTCACAAGCTCGCCGATGAAGCGGACGATCTTCAGCTTGGACTCGATATTCAGCTGGTTCTTCTTGCGTATATGCCACTTGAACTCCTTGCGCAGCAGCTCCGCCAGATCGGTGGCCACGTCCGTGTTGCACAGATGCACGATGGCCACGAAGCGCGACAGATAGGGCAGAATGTCCAGCCGCGTGCGCTGCACCGAGAATATCGTGCGCGTCAGCTTCTTGCGCTGGTGCTTCGTGTTGAAGTTCAGCAGGAACTCGATGGCCGCCGAGTCGATGAGCTCCTTGTTCACGCAGTTGAACAGGTTCACCAGAAAGCCGTCGAACTGCTGCCGCATCTGCGTTTGCGTCTGGCTGGGATTCTGGGCTAGCGTCTGGCTTTGCTGGCGGCCCAGTTCCATCAGCGCGCTGCCCATTTTCTGCGGCTTCACATCCTCGGCGGGCACAACGGGCGTCGTTGGCTGCTCCTCGCTGGCATTCTCGAGCGCCGTGTCCGAGTTGGTGGACGGCGGATCGTCCAGATCCATTTCCGCATCCAGATTCGCCTCGATGGCCTCCTCGGTGAGCTCACTGGGCTCCTCGAGCGTCTCCAAATCCACCTTGGGTGCCGAGAAATTCGGGAGAAACTGCCGAAGATCCGGAAGATCGGTGTAGAACGAGCGCGTCTCCTCGTCGCCCCAGGGATCGAGCAGCCCGAAGGCGGCGCTGTCCAGCATGTTGTCAATGACCGTGCCCGGATTGCAGCACTCCGACTCCTTCGCCAGCTCGGGCAGGGGTTCTCCCAGTAGCTCGGAAAGCGACTGGGCCGAGGCCAGCAGCTTATCGAAGCCCGCCTGCATGAGCTCGCACTTCTCGCGCTTCTCCGTGGATATCTCGCCCTTGCACTCCATCGTGCGGCGTATATTCTTGGTCATGTTCATCAGCTCCGCCTGCTCGGCCAGGACGTGCTTGCACAGGGCCTTGAAGTAGCCCTTGAGCATGGTGCGCAGATTGAGCTGCTTGTCGGCGCCGAGGAACTCGGACTTGGGCACCTCCACGCCGTATTTGGCGGCCAACTGCTGCATCTTCTGCGGCACCAGGCCGGCGTACTCCTCGCCGCAGTGGCGGCAGAAGGAGAGGATGATGGAGAAGTTGCTGTGGTCGTCCTTGTCCTGGGCAATCAGGTGCACCAGCACCACGCCCAGTTGGGCCAGCCCGGGCTTCATTTGGATCACTCCCGAGCTAACCAGTTCGGCAAAGAGTCGCAGATCCACGCGCGGCTTGCTGGGATTGGCTATCTTCTCGCTGGCCTTGATGTTCAGCGCCTTCTGCCAGGCCTCCAGAAACTGGACATCGAAATCCGCGTAGGTGCAGTGCAGCCGGGAGGCCAGAGTGACCACTGCCGGCACATCGGTCATCTTCAGCTTGGCCTCCGCCAAGGCGGCGCATATTTCGGAGATGTACTTGCTCAGATTCAGGGCGGAGAGCTCCCGCAGCAGCCCCTCCAGCTGGGTGGCGGTGAAGAGCTTCAGCTTCTTCACGAACGCCGTGTTCTTCTTGAGATTGGAGTCCAGCCGGGCGAAGTACTCCTCGCCGGGCAGCTCGAACGTGGAGTTCTGCAGCCGCAGCTGCCGCTTGGCCTCGATCTTCTCGCTCAGCTCGTTGATGAACTGCTGCAGCTCCTCGCGCTCCTCGGCCTCCAAGGCTGTGGCCTCCGCCTCCGCATCTGCATCCGGATCTGCATCCGCATCCGTATCGTCGTTGTCGTCCACATCATCGGCCTGATCTTTGCCAGATTCCGGCTGTGTGGCCACCTCCGCCTCCAGAGCGGCCGGGCTGACGGAATCGCTAGCTAGCATGGCGGCAATTTCTGGACGGGATTCCCTTCAGCTGGACTCGAATCCCAGTTGCTATGTTTTGAAATTCTATCTGCTGGCAAGTTGAATTTTAGGAGGGTTTGGGATTGGTTACCATGTGCTGTAGTCACCTCGAGATGCTCCGTCGCGGCAAGTGTCCGGGTGAAATAGTTGTGCTCCGCGGAATTCGTTAGTCGCCTCGCATTTCCTTGTTTTTCCCACGTTTTTCCGCCACGATTTTCCCTTCAGGTTTTGTTTTTAATTTTTTTATCTCTACATGTTATCGATAGCAGGCGTGTATCGCAGAACGATAGCTGGCGCGCGATAGGTATCGCACGGAGCGCGCCAAAAGTTGAGGAAATTTAAATTTTAGTTGGGGGTGGAATTGTATTTACTTTCTTTCAGTGCATTTATATTTTAAAGGGGAGAAATAAAATATTTTTAAAAGAAAATGGAAATTTATAAATAATAAATAAATTTATAGATGATATAGCAGAATTATGAGCATATAAGTCCAGGTTTTGGGTCACCTTTTTTATTATTAAGGAATTAAAGATAAAGGTTTAGGTCACCCTTGAAACTTATTAATGGGGAATATGTATTTTGAGTAGTATTTTCCTACCTAGTCAAACATACTTAAAACACAACACCAAAAAACAGACAACATTTGTTAAAAACTAGAAAACAAAAGAAAAGTTATAATTAACACGGGTGGAGGAACAGAACCACACTTTATCCCTTGGCGTAGCCGAGAAATCCTTGGTTCTGCAGAGGACCATAGTTCCTGGGGAGCTGCAGGCTGATCCACTAACCGCCATGTACCAGAACCAGTTCATCTACTCCCGCGAGAGGCGTCGCTTCGGGCGGCAGTGCTGCTTCCAGGACCGCAACGAGCTGATGGTCAGCGTGCAGCCGAGCGGCCGCCAGCGGCTGAAGTACGTCATGCGGAATCCCGCGGCGCAGGCCACCCAGCTGAGTGGCCAGATGGCGCTCACGGTCATGGAGACGGAGAACGTGACCCTCGACCAGCACGGGATGTACCACAGCGAGGGCGGGTGGCCCAAGGAGGTGAATCCCTGGGACGAGGAGCAGACGCAGCGGCACCGCAAGAAGGTGGAGCGCGAGGATAGCTGGGGTGAGCAGGTCCTGGACATGATTCGCAGCACAATGGCCGTGGCGGAGCAGAACAACACCCTGAATATCTACCAGAACTTCTTTGCCGATCTGCCCGCCGATTTGGCCCACGACATTCGGATGAGGTTCCGTGCGCGGGTGGCCAATGTCTTCCACGATCTCTGGCTGCCCTCACGCCACCTGAACTCCATCGAGTGGATGCCCAACAATGAACGCCAGTTCATGGCGCAGTTCACCAATCAGTTTGGCAAGGAAGAGCGCCTCCGTTTGGTCACCGATGAGCCAGTTGGCGATATGAACTCCTTCTACGTTTGGAATGTAAAGAATCCCCTGAAGCCGAAGATCTCCTTCGACAGCCGGGAGCCAGTGTCGCTGGCCAAGATCTGTCCCAAGGATGAGAATAATATGGTGGGGGGCACTGGACTGGGGCAGGTCTGCCTGTGGAGCACCTTCAAGGGCGGCATGCCGGTGCGCAATTGCCCCCTGGAGGTGTCCCACCGGGAGACCACCTCGGCCCTCTGCTGGGTCCACTCCAAGTCCAACACGGAGTTCTACTCGGGGTCGCTGGACGGCTCGATCAAGTACTGGGACACCAGGGACCTCAAGATGCCCATGCAGGAGCTGCTCCTTGAGCCGGAGCCGCAGGATCGCCAGTCGCGCCAGTCGCGCATGGATTCGCACGGGGTGACGGTGCTGGAGTTCGAGTACACCATCCCGGTGCGCTTCATCATTGGCAGCGATATGGGTCATGTGTTCGTGGGCAACCGCAAGGGAATGACGCCCACGGAGACGCTTCTGGCCAACTACAAGCTATTTGCCGGTCCGGTGAGGAGCATCAACCGGAATCCCTTCTTCGTGAAGAACTTCCTCGTCACGGGAGATTGGCGGGCGAGGATCTGGTCGGAGGAGGCCAAGGATGCACCGTCGACCATGTATTTCCGGAAGAAGACACAGATCACCTGCGGAGCCTGGAGCACTGGTCGCTGCTCCCTGTTCGTGACTGGCGATATGAACGGAGTGGTGGACTTCTGGGATCTCCTGCTCCACCAGCGGCTGCCCATTCTCTCCGTTGACTTCAAGGTTGCGATTGCGGACGTGGTCTTCCGGCCGAACGGGGATCTGCTGGCCATCGCCCTCCAGAACGGCGACAGTCACATCCTCACCTTGGACGAGTCCATGCGACAGGCGACGGGCAAGGAGAAGGCGCTCATGGCAGCCGTACGATATATCCTTCTATCTTTTCAGAGATCTAAGAGATTCGAATCTTCATAGCATAGCATACCATACTATTGCAGAAGTTGGAATAATTCTAGACTCTCTATTCGACATTTTAATGATAAGTAGGATCTGTATATCTTTATATCTTTATACCGCATTCTTTTATTAGTTTATATTTACGTCTTTATCCTCCTATCTTCTCAGAGATCTAAGAGATTCGAATCTTCATAGCATAGCATACCATACTATTGCAGAAGTTGGAATAATTCTAGACTCTCTATTCGACATTTTATAGATAAGTAGGATCTATATATCTTTATACCACGTTCTTTTTATAAGCTATATCATTTTATATATTTTATTTATATATATTTTAATGATAAGTAGGATCCATTGGTTTCTCTTATTCCACGTTCTTTTTATAAGCAATATCATTCGAATCTTCATATCTTCACACCATATCATATTATTGCTGAAGGTTAAATACTACCTATCTATTACAATCATAATTCTAGAATCCCCTTTTTGATATGTTAATAATAAGTAGGTTCCATTGTTCTCTTTATATCACGTTCCTTTTATAAGCTATAGGTTCTAGTTTTACTCTAACTATAGTTTATATTTACGTCTATATCCTCCTATCTTCTAAGCGATCTAAGAGATTCGAATCTTTATAATATACCATCTATGCCATCTATTATATTGATATAATGATAAGTAGGACCCATTGGTGTCTTTATAACACATACCTTTTATAAGCTATAGGTTCTATTTTAACTCTAACCATAGATCATATCATTATTGTTATATATCTACAGAATCTCCAATGAAGATTCGAATCTCTATCATAGTATGGATATAATCCTTTAATATCCCCCTTCTCTTCCTTTAGATGTTCGAGCGTGAGATCGTGCGTAGCAAACTTTTAGAGGCCCGCTATGATGAGGTGAGGCTCAAGCGGAAAACCCTCTTGATGGCCGAGGAGGATCGTGTGCGGCAGGAGCAGAGTATGGCACCTGCTCTCGAGCTGGATCCCGACAATCCCGACCAGTTTGTGAAGATGATCGAGGGCGATGAGGAATTCCGCACGGCCATCAGTGAGTTCCAGGAGATGATACTCAGTGTGGAGAGAAAGCGCTCCAAGAGGCAGGTAAAAATGGAGCGCACGGTCTTCGAGGAATGGAATCCGGCAGATGAGAGGCTCCAAGGGGAACCGGTTATATACACACGACCCGAACCGAAGGTTCAGCTTTTAGGGAACCTCGATAATAGGCACTCTTCAGAGCCAAGGAATTCCCAAGGATCAGCCAGATTTAAATGAAATGTAATACGAAAAAATCATATTGAGAAACTCACAGTTCTTACTATGGTATTATTTAATGGGTTTACATGGATTTACTACTTACTCATCCATAAAAATAGAAATTCAATCCGAAGAAAACTCACCGGATGAATAGCCATATAAACACATTAAACCAGCCTCTCGGGTTAAACTAGCGAAACACAGTTCATAACTTTATGGAGTACTCTTTGGAGACCTTTATTACGACCAACACAATTAGCCCGACAGCGTGCGCCTTTAATTAAGTAACAACCTTTCTAACAGCAAAATTGAGCTTGCTAAATTCACTTTTCACAGAGCGCTCAGTTGCACTTCTCTACACAGCAATTAAAAGGAGATAATAGTAAAAAAAAAAATGTCGGAAAAAAAACAATAAAGCTCTATGACCTACTGGGGAAAAGCGGGGAGTGTCAGGCACTGGAACTTCTAGTGCTTATCGGTATCCACGCCCGTGTCCAAGAAGTCGTTGACCAGTCGCATGGCCTTGCGGGGAATCAGGCGGCCGATCTTCTCCACGGCGACGAAATGGCGCGGAATGGCGGCCTCCTCCAGTCCCTGGCGCTGGGCCTCGATGATCGAGCCGGCGGCCACCTCCGCGGAGATCAGCTTGAACAGCTTGGGGAACCGGTAGCGGGGGTTCTTGCACAGACCCGTGTCGATCATGTACGGATAGATGGTGGTCAGCTTGACCTGGAAATGGGGATAATAATAATGGTTGTAATACCTGAACTTTGTAACTTGAGTTTAACTTAGGATTACACAATAAATGCTAAAGAATTCGCGTTTGACTGTGACTTAACCCTAAGTTTTCATTGATTAATAAGGTTAAATATTATGAAATTATATTAATGAAAATAATAAAAATACTTGAACTTTGTAACTTGAGTTTAACTTGGGATTACACAATAAATGCTAAAGAATTCGCGTTCAGCTTTGACTTCACTTTAACTTTTCTTTGATTAATAAGGTTAAATATTATGCTAATATTAAACATTTTTATTAGCTATATTATATTATTATATTTGAACTTTGTAACTTGAGTTTAACTTAATATTACACAATAAATGCTAAAGAATTCGCGTTTGACTTTGACTTTACCCTTAATTTTCATTGATTAGTAAGGTTTAATTTTATGCTAAGTCTAGAAGAAGTCTAGAAATGGAGATAAAAATAATACTTGAACTTTGTAACTTAAGTTTAACTTAATATTACACAATAAATGCTAAAGAACTCGCGTTTACTTTTCTTTGATGAATAAGTTTAAATGCAGCATATTAAACATTTTTATGGGCTACTAGTCTAAAACTAAGATGCACACTGAACAAAGAGAATGATATACCTGTGCATTAACCATTACCCGTTAATTCCCCGACAATAAACCACGTTTCTTTATTACATTCTATAACTTTTTAATGAGGTCCCCAGCTGGACCATCATGAATCACCGAATTAAGCTAAGAAAAGCTGTAAAATGAAGTGGTACTCATACTCACATTGTTATTGGGGTTCTTCTGGCGCAGCTCCTCGGCGAGGGCGGACATGTAGCCGCGGACGGCGAACTTGGTGCCGCAATAGGGCACCAGGTTGATCAGTCCAAAGAGTCCGGCGCAGGAGGACAGGGCCACAATGCTGCCCTCGTTGCGCTCAATCATGTCGGGCAGGAAGGACTGGATGATCTGTGGGGGGGAAGATGATATTTAGATTGTTCTCCATAGAGATCCCAAGATCAGATCTTCAAGAGCAACATACCCAGTAGTGGGAGATCACATTGATGTCGTACATCAGACGGATCTCGCTTTCGGTGTGCTCCAACAGGGGATGGCAGGGCATGATGCCGGCATTGTTGACCACCACATGGACGAATCCGTGCTCCTTGCGCACCTTCTGGGCCAACTCAATCAGCTCCTCGCGCTTCGTGACATTGCACACATAGCCGAAGGCCTTGCCGCCGTTCGCCTTGATCTCCTTGACGGTCTGGTTGTTGGTCTGCTCGTTGACGTCCCAGCAGAGAATGGTGGCGCCCAGCTTGGCGTACTGCAGGGCCATCTGCTTGCCCATGCCGTGGCCAGTGCCCGTGATCAGGACCACCTTGCCGCCGACCTCCTCGAGGGGCGCCGGCCGGAAGAGGCCCACGATCGCCTCGAAGATCGCGATCCAGAACTTGGCGATCAGCAGCAGGATGTCCACCACCAGCAGCACGATGTTGTAGATGTCATTGCTGTTGGCATTGCTGTTGCCAGCACTGAAAGAAAATATATATCATTTATTTATTTTGCAGCCAAAAAACAAACAGAAAAAAATCAATTTTTTGCCAAAAAAACCTAACTCCAATTTTTCACAAAAAAAATATTCGTTTTTTAGCCGTAACAATGGAAATAAAGATCCAAATATGGATTGTCATACCTTTCTTTCTCGTTACTAAATTTTAAATCGATTGGCATTCAAACCTGGGAATTTTAATTTTTGTCAATTTTTCGCAAAAAATCATGAGGAACCCCTTATAAAAAAATTGAAAATTTGCGAAAATTTTATTTTATCAAGATCACCCGGAAAGTGCCATGGATTTATTTTTTATTTTGTTATCTGTTCAAAACAGTATGCATTTTTGGTGTAGGACCATTTTTGACCAAGTTACAGCAAAAAAACAAACAGAAAATAAATCAATTTTTTGCCAAAAACCCTGATTCCAATTTTTGACAAACAAATTATTAGCTTTTTGGCCGTAACAATGGAAATAAAGATCCAAATATGGATTGTCATACCTTTCTGAACTCGTTATTAAATTTCTAGTCGATTGGCATTCAAACCTGAGAATTTTAATTTTTGTCAATTTTTTGCAAAAAATCATGAGGTACCCCCTTATAAAAAAATTGAAAATTGGCGAAAATTTTATTTTATCAAGATCACCCGGAAAGTGTCATGGATTTAATTATTATTTTGTTATCTGTTCAAAACAGTATGCATTTTTGGTGTAGGACCATTTTTGACCAAGTTACAGCAAAAAACAAACAGAAAAAAATCAATTTTTTGCCAAAAACTTTGATTCAAATTTTTCACAAAAAAATTATTAGTTTTTTGGCCGTAACAATTTTTGTAAGCGATAACGAATTTGACCGTAACTAAGTTTAACTGAAGCATTGAACTCAACGCACGTTTACTTAACTGCCAAATTAACTGATAACTGGTATATTAACCTTTGGTTATTACCTTCTCGTGTTAAGCTTAATTTTAAATTTAATGCAGTTCCCCTGCCCTTTTCGGACGTAAAATATATTAGGCATATGAAAATGAATGAACATTATTGGAGGTTTATTATATGATGTGATCTTATATGTGTGGTTGATTCAAAAAATAATATTTGATTTTGAAACTATTTAGAAGAAGCTATGCTGTTGCTCAAAATCGTTGTATTCAACATTTTGGATGGTTTTTTTGGGAAGTGCGTGCCTCTGCTAATTTGACTCTTGATCCAAGCATCATAATTATAAAATGGAGTGAAGTGGAGCGGAATGGAGATGGAATGGGATTAATCCGGAGTCCAACTCTTGCATGACCCAAAGCTATTTGGAACTGCGAGTGTGCGTGTACTAGCGACAATCGGATGACCTTTGGCATCCTCTATATTTTTTGTAGCTACACTCTCAAAAAATCCCTTTTGAAATACTACAGTTTTCAGCCTCAAAAGATTTCATATTTGTAATCCCATCTTATATAAATTAAATTCTGTTTTGTACGGAAGTTGCGGGTGTGGATGGGGTGGTTCCATCTTGGGTCAGCGCTTTTTTCCCAGCTCATGTTCTGTAATTATATTTCTGGCCGCAGCTGCGTGAGATCTTGATAATGTCAAACTTTTACTGTTTCCAGCTTTTTGGTTTTGTTTCGTGTATTTTTGCCTTTGCGTTACGTATGGGCGTATATATTGCCGTATATATATGTTATATAGTCATAGTCAGCCAGATCGTGCCATCGACTTATCGGTAGCCCTGACCATGGCCTCGCTCCCTCTCGCTCGCCCTCTTTCACTTTCTATCGCCCCGTCCCGCTCGCGCATTTCACTTCCATGGAGACCGCTCTTATCGCCGCACTTCTGGAATGGAATGCTATTTATAGCCGGTCGATCGGACCCAAATCGTGCTGATCAGCCCACCTAGATAGTTCCAAACAAATGCACAACGAAAATTGGTGCACTCGAAGAATAGAGCATTCATAAAATATTACTCATTCTTCAATTGGTTAGTTTGTAAAATAATCTAAAGTATCATTCGTTTTTGAAGTATAATTGAAAAATAAGTATCAAGAAAAAAACAATTTTTTAGATAATGATATTCATTCTAATCCACAATTGTATCACTTCCTGACCAAGTCTATACAAAATTTTAGTAATTTTAGATTTCATATGCTGATCATTTCGATCCTTTCGATGCTTTTGGTAATATCAAGGTTTCTAAGATCATCTAAGTGATCCCAAATCCTTAGTTGAAGGCTAATAACTGAACACGATCATTGGTCAAGGTTTACGGGGCAATTTGAAATAGCTTAAGTAAGTCGGATGAAGGTGAATAGCGCTTAAGTGAGCTGATCCAGATTGCACAATGGTCAAAGGTTGCCGCGATCATCATCCATATATGGATGGGTTGTTGGTATTGGAAGTGGTCTATATCTGGTTTATAATGGGTCTCGGAGCCAATTATTCCCGGGGAATCGAGTTGATTTTCCGGAACCCATTGAACCCTGCTCCTGGGCAGCAGTGGTAGACCCCCAGATAAGGTTGCGTTATCGCCGACAATAAGTATATTGCACTACATGAGTGTAGAGTAGTTCCATTGATAAGATAGTTGCTTCGTTCTCACTCTCTATTCACTTTTTTTTCTGCTGTTTGTTACCAACAGCTCTCCACTTCGTTGATTACTAACCTTTGCGAAACTTTCGTCATTTTGTATGCGGTTGGTTATATCCTTTTAGGATCGTATATATCGTGTATATAGGGAAAAGGGATCTGCGGACGATCGGAGCAGCCGGAGCAAACCGTTAGCGGCTGTTAACGAATTCGGACTGAATATTCAGCAAAGTAAACACTACGCACCGTGCCGCCACGCCGGTCTTATAAGTTATTATTTCAAATCTACTCACACACACCAGCGTGGGCCTTTCAGATACTATATGGTACTATACACTATACACTACTCGTAGATACACTCTCTGGGCAGCGACGCCGGCTGCGCAGGCGGCAGAGGCAGGGGCGCCGGCAGAGCGTTCTATAAACACGACTACGACATATGTTCAATGGCACTGCCATTCCGATTTATTCCATTCCATTACAATCCGATCGGATCCGATCTATATGGAATATGGAGCGACATCCATACGCCGCACACAGTGCAACTTCTCACCCGGTTTCCACATATTCGTCTGTGTGTCTGTGTGTTAATCGGGGTCCGATAATAATACCCCCGAGTGGGGGGTGCACCAGTACCCCATAGCCCATAAAAAAGCTATATATGTGTCATATATAAATACACACAGCTAGCCGGAGTTTACGACCCAGATCGTTCAGATACCCAGATACTCAGAGATGCCAAAGGTGGAAAGGGTGCCAAAGGGGTGCTAAAGTAGATGCACGTCGCAGATACAGATACAAAAGCTTCGGCCGAACATTATACCGTCTCAGTCGCAGTTCAGATCGGTTCATCGGGAAGTTACATTTATTTTCTATTTTTTGTTTGCCTCAGCATGACCACATCGATAGCGAAGATAAGGACTCCAGGATGATCTTTAGACCACACCGAAGCTTAACTCATATGTCAAATATTTATTATAATATTATATTAGTTTATTATATTTTCTGGTTGGATCATCCAAAGTTATTTTATTTTTTCCCTGTGCACTACTTGACCTCTGAGACATCTGAATTTGCGATTAGATTGGAGTCCTTACTATTTGCGCAACCACTATTTGCCAGCTCAGCATGATGAATCACTTTCCGACCAGGGTCAAAGTATGAGGTTCCACTTCCACGAAAAACCCAACCCATTGCACCCTCTGAAGAGTCAACCGAATAGAATCCAACCCATGGCGATAAGAGTTCGATTAGTCAAACGGGTTCGTAATAAATTTGCCACCACATATTTTACTTGATTGGAAATATTAATAGCTCATGGATAATTCTACTTAATAATAATACTTGTTTAAGTTATATCCGCAATCACAAACAAGTGGTTCTATACAATTATTTATATGGCCATATTATATTCTGTTTGATTTTTCTGTTTAGGTTGCATTGTTAAGTATTCCATCATTCATTAACAACTGGTTTATTTTTACAATGCATCGAAGCATTGCAACTTTTAGTTTAATTGCATGTACCCGTATCTAAGATACCATAGTTGGTTAATGTATTCCTAAAGTTATTAAATAAAGAGCATCTAAGGCTGATTGATTAGCTTTCCAGTGTACATTGCCATAGACTATTTATTGTATATGACATTAAAACAATAGATTTGTTACATTGTTTGCGTTCATTGTCATTAATCATAGGTATTACTTTTTACTGTTTTCAAGTCTTGTCAACTTTGTACAGAAATGTACAATTGGGAATTTGGAATTTGGAATATATTAGGGAAATACTTTTGTAGTGAATATTTAAAATGTGAAATATATTATGAAGTTCGTTAATAGAATAGAATGTAATATGATATAAAATAAATATAAATATAAAGATAATAATGCAATACTCACCGGTGATCTGCTGACTTTCCCGCCAAGGGTAGCATCTTCCTTTCCGGCAACTCGAACTTGGACACCAAATACACCCAGTATGTTGCACTCATTCCGGTTAGCCACCGATCCGGTCCACCTTCCACTCGCCAGATGCATCGGATTCCCGAGATATTGGTGGGGGCAAGGAGGCGTTACCCAATGAAACAAAACAATTCCGAATAGAACAAGCTTTGGGCGTTGCATGAATGCATTCAATAGATAAACAAGATTCGTGACAATTCGTTAGTCGGCGGCTGTATTTGTATCTGGGCGGCTATAGTTGCACATACTCGTATATAGTTGTGGATGCGGCTGGCTAATCGAATAAATTAGCTCGCATTACCGGACCGGTTGACTGGTCGGTTGGCTTATTGTTTCACCCGACGCTTGCATAAATATGACGCCTTGACGGCTCATCTCACTGCATCTCAATCTCTGGAACGATCCATTTGTGGATACGTGACAATTACAGGTTAGCGACTACAAATTGCACCCCCGTCGTGGGTCGGGGTCACCCCGGTTAACTATCAACCGCAATTAGCCTTAACGGCATCCCCCAATCGAAGCCGCCTTACGTCTGCCTATCGTTCGGGGTCACCAGTTCAGGTGTGATTTACGACCAGTTCCTAAGCTACCGATTTGCTTATAGTTACAGTACTACACTGAATGAAGTGTAATTCTCTGGGGGTTTGAGCCTTAAAACCACTTGTCAGGTCATCTATTTGACAAATGTTAGCTACTATTTGGGGTCACCACTTGAGGTTTCATAATTACTAAACCATCTATGAATAAAATCTACTATTCTAATAGATAATAAACCACAAACGTTTTAATATTGTATTTAATAGATGTTAAAATATAACAAATTCCAGGGTGTTAAAGAAGCAAAAACAGATCACACCTGCAGCGTTGAGAAGAAAGAAACCACAGCACTGTCCGTGGGAAGACACTGTCCGAAGGCCTCGATTAACAACGGTTCAGCCGTGACGGTGCCCATAAAGTCCTCCATGGATACCTGCAAGAGATGCCATCTCAATGTCAATTCCTAAGTCACTCACCTCACTCACCTTGCCATCCTTGTCCAGATCGAACTTCTTGAGCACAATCTCCACCAGATCCTTGACACCCTCGTCCGGATCCTCGTCCTGCGGCTGTTTAATCAGGCAGTTCCTCAGCAGCGTGAACATCTCGTCCTTGGTGATGAATCCATCGGTGTTCAGGTCGTAGACCCGAAAGCAAAAGGCAGCCCGTTCCGCCGGAGTTCCGCGCAGGAAGGTCGAAAGTCCAATCAGCCAGCCCTCGAGACGCAGGGGCAGACCCTCGTGGGCCTTGTCCCAGCTGCAGAAGATGCGCTCCATCAGTATCTCCTCGGTGACGATGTCGAAGGTGCTGTGCAATAGCTCCCGGAAGACTATTCGATCGATACCCTATGATATGGGGAATTTAACCTGAACCTGAGGCAGCCATTTCATATTTACCTCCACGGCGGCATGTGGCTTGGCTATCGCGGCACTCGAGGAGCTGGAGGCCAGGGTCTTGGCCGCATACTGGCAATTGGACACCAGCTTGCGATAGATCCGGCACAGCGCATCCAGTTCGTCCCTGTTCGGGCGCCACGCGTCATAAGTACTAGGCACGTTTGATTTATTTGATCTACTCACTTGGTGAAGCGCGTCTTCTTGCGCAGGCTGTCCAGCAGCTTGGGATTCACCTTGCCGCTCAGCTCATCCATCCTCCGTTGCCGCTGTTGCCGTTTGTTCTGCAAGGCAGCCGCGGCGGCCTTCGACTGTTGGTTGCTCGAGTTGCGCTTGCCGCTGGCAAGGAACACGGATACCGTTTTCAGTATCGTTTTGTTGGCATGTAGTGTGGATCTGGGTGCTGTGGGTGCCGCTGCACCACCACTGCTGGTTGCCCCACCACCATCCGGCTGCCGATTGGGTGTCGGTGTTGGCGAACGACCCTTGCCGGCGGCGCCCGCCTTGCCTGCAACCGAAAATTGCCCATTCCCGTTCAGCATTTAGCTTTTACATGGGTGCGTGTCTCTGTCTCTGTGTTCGGTTGCTACTTTATGTGTCAAAGTCGACACGCTCACTCCTCCTCGAGTTTAGCCAGAAAAGCCCTTCAACTATTGTGCATAGTTGTATGTATGTGGAGCAGAGGCAGAGCAAACAAAAGGCCTGAAATGCAAATGCGGCTCACATCCACATATCCACATCCGTAGCCCCCCATTCATGGCCCATCGAAATGGGTAATAGCGTTCACATTCTGCCCATAAATTGTTTCAGCCGGCTATTTCGATTCAAATGCACTGAGGGAAACCGATAGTAGAGGACTAGAACTACTCACATACCAAATTTCATGACGATCTAATGATTATAATGGGCATAAGTTCCATTTTAAATGGGTTCCCTAGCAATATTTGTTTATCTTTAGTGGAATAGAACTACTCACATACCAAATTTGATGACGATCTAATAATTATTATGGTCATAAGTTTTATTTTAAATATTTAGCAATATTTACTGATCTTTAGTGGAATAGAACTACTCACATACCAAATTCGATGACGATCTAACTATTATAGTCATAAGAGCATTTTTAATTCGGTTCATAAGCAATATTTAAATATCTTTACTGGAATAGAACTACTCACATACCAACTTTCATGACGATCTAATAATTATTATGGTCACAAGAGCCATTTTAAATGGGGTCCTTAGCAATATTTACTGATCTTTACTGGAATAGAACTACTCACATACCAACTTTCATGACAATTATTGTGGTCACAAGAGCAATTTTAAATAGGGTTTTTAGCAATTTTTACTTATAGACCGAAAACTAATAATTTATAAACTCTATCTGGTATTTCTCCGAGTGCACTCATTTACTTTTGTGTTCACTTTGATTTCAATCTGCGCCCATACCACCTCGCTTTGTTTTGCTTCGCTGTGTCGTGCTGCCTTTGAGAAAAAATGTTATTATCTTGTGATTACCCATATAAGTAGAGGAGCATAGGGGCCTGTCTGTCTATCCATCTGTCTGTTTATGACCGCCTCCGGGCCAGGGCACTATAATTTTATTAGCATTTCCATTTGGCCCACCAAAAAGGGGAAGGGCTTTCGCTTTGGGGGCTCTGGGGGCTTTGAGCCCTTGAGAACCGTCTGTCTAGACCCGTTCCTATGTGCGGCATACGGTTTCATGTAATTTGTTGATATCGGTTGCCCGGTTGCCACACGAACACAGCGAACGGGTCGCCACCCACACTCGACCACTCTGAACTCCGATGGGGCGAATAAATCAGACATCTTTGGACCTGGCAGTCCATCAACGGGTTGCACCCGGCGCTGCGCCTAAAAATGCAACTTCCTGTGAACTTCCTGTATGTACAATATACCACCGATATACCAATTACATATGACAGAGGACCTGGACTTTTGGAAAATCCCCGATTCAGTCGCGATTGGCAAGCCAAACGAAGGGATCTATTCCGGAAAGGACACGGACTTTGCTAGGAAGGATATCAGGTTAAGTAATAATTTCAAGAGATTATTTAATAGAATATTATAATACAAATTCCACATTGGGACCCTATTTTAAGGTAAGCACATTTTATTAAATCCTAAATAAAAAATATAAAATCAATGGGTGAAATATATACCCATTTTCTATTGATTTTTACTAATATGTAGCCATGATTTTCAATACATTGCAGGAGAGTCAAAGGGTGGAGCGCAAAGTAACTGCGATTACATCACAAACAGAAGCGACTCTGGATGAAGGACCTATTTTATAGCTTCCATGGAACACCGAGGGACTCGACTTTTTGGAGAAACTCCCCCTTTGACCTCAAATGGAATTTAGCCAGGCCGAACTTTGGTTCAACTATTTTGCAACTCGGTGCACTGCACTTTGTGGGGGCGCTGCAAAGTATGCTATGGCAATTGTCGGAACGCCAGGAGTAATTACAACTCGGCACAGAGAAACACACACACACACACACGAAATGTTGCTGGTTCTTGTTTTATAGATCTTTAAAGTAGATATATATATACCCATGCTGGCTCCCGACTCCTCTCGCTGCGGCTGTTGTTGTTTTGATTGTTGATTGCCCGATTAACTCCACGCAGGAGCGTTAAACCGTGTCCCTCGGCCCTTGGGCCAAAACAAAGGAACCAAAAAGGCGAGGAGGAAATCAACAAATCCGCCAGTTTCCAAGGCGTTGACAATCCGCAGGCACTGTCAGTTGGTCTAGGTAAGGAGCAGAGTAACCGCAGCCCGTGGAACGTAAGCAGTAACCCCCTGAATTTACTCGAGGGACGGGGGGTGGCACCAACTATTGACAAAACAAGGCCAAGAAACGGGCGTAACTTTCTTTTCCTTTTTTTTTTTGTTTTTATTTGTTAGATTTCACTTGTTTGTAACATGGTTTTTTTTTTATATATTTTTTACTCATTTTTTGTCTCCCTTCGTCCAATGGGGCTTACTTCCTTCCGACCTTTTTACTCCGATTGCTTGAATTACGTTTTAATTATTGTGTCCTGATAGATATCACCATACACATATATATATGGTGTGTGTGTTGTGTGTAGCTTATATACAACTATCAGATTACTCGTTACTTGCTTTTCGACTTAGGCGTAAGTATTGTTATAGTGTTAGTACATAGTACAGCAGAGCGGTAGTGTCTATATATCTGCACTTTCATTTGATTTCACTTAAGACCCCTCTTCAAAGTCACACCCTCTAAATGCATCGAATCCTCCGAATCTGATTAAGAGAGCGAGATAGAGGGAGAAGATACAAAGAGACAAAGAGAGAGATATAACCAATAAACAAGTAAATATGGTAAAAGCAAAATGTATTATAATAAAAAAAAACAGAGTTGGTTTTGGCTTAAACACGGGTGGCATAAGTTAGACATAAGAATTATTGCATTTAATTACACGATCAATTCGAATCCTATTTTAAAATATTACATAATAACCGTACAATAATATTAATTAACAAGAAAAAGAACTGCAACGTTTATTCTGTCTGCTCCACGCAATCGTCTCCAAACGCTTCCTCTAGGATTTGTCTTGGTTTTCTATTTAACTCTATTTAGTTTCGATCGTTTTTCACTTTTGTTTTGGTTTTTGGGCAGGGACAATGCTGCTAAGTCAAATATGATTTTCCGCAGTTAAAAATTCCTAGATACATAAAGTGTTTTAATATGCAGACAATGAAAGATCCTATTAAAAACGCGTACACAATTAAACAAAGCGAAACAAACATACACATAAAGCTGGGGGAGAACAAAACACACATTTCATTTGATTTGATTTGATTTCATTTCGTTTCGTTGATCAATCTAAGCGGTAACTGAGGGTTCGGGTTCGGTATCCTTTAGGTTCAGATTGGGTTATCATCGTGTGGTACTTAAGTATGTGGTGAGGGGGTTCCAAAAACTTGTGTGTTTGATGGTGGTACTTGTGTTTACGATACTTTTTCTATCAACTTGTTACTCCATTGCTAAACTCTAAAGAACGGGCATCGACGTCTGTTTAATGCCAGATCAAGGCCAAAAGCAATTTCACGTCATATTTCGTATTTCGTATTGCGTGTGCACTTACTATAACCATTTAAATTGCGTTTGCATCTATGCTTTTATTTGTTATCTTGTTTTATCCATAATTACTTTAACTTTTACTTTTGTTTCCATCTTGTTTCTGTTTCCATTTTGTTCTCCTCCGTTTCGTTTTTGTTGTGGTCTATATATCTGTTACGATCTGTTACGATCCTTGCTCCAATCCTTTTTAAGACTTTCTTTTTGTTATCAGCTACTGATGGCTAAACTAAGAGTTTTTTAAATCTTGTTTTTCTTGTTTTTGCTGCTTACATTAGTGTGTGTATATATATATATATATATATATTGTATGTATATATTTATATGTATGTGCGTGTGTGCGCAGATCATCACACGCCATTATCGAATCACTTTCTATCTTAAAATCCAATTATCATTTATCAATTATATATATATATATATGGATATATATATATTGTTGGTTGCTGTTCCGTCGCCAACTGAAGGGAGTGGTGTTCGTTTGGTTGGGTGGAAATCGAGGCAGGGATCGGGTAATGGGGCAATGGGATCTCGAAGCATTTGTATTAGGCTGTTGTCAGTGTTAGTTTAAGCGGTATTTCCGTAGGCTGGCGGTCCAACCGATATTATAACTCCATATCCCTGGCCTCGTCCTCACTGTAGTCGGACATGCTCGACTCGCTGTCGCTGCTCTCCCGCTCCTGCTGCGCCGCCCGCAGCGCATCCTCGGTGGCATACCGCTGCACATAGTCGGCCACCTTGCGATGGTACTCCTCCGGCTCGTGCAGGTACAAGGCGGCCGCATCGCGATTGAGCGGATCGACCGGATTGGGATATGTGAGCAGTTGCGGCAAGAACGATTCGAAGATGTTCGACAGATCGTACAGCGCCGTCCAGGCCTGATTGATCACATCCAGGCAGACGGTGCCGGAGGACTCGTCAATGTTCGGATGGTAGATCTTGTTCACGAAACCGATGCTCGGCGACTTGAAGGGATAGTTGTCGGGCAGGTAGACGCGCACCTTCCACACGCCGCCCTCGTAGGGCGTCTCCGTTGGACCGAAGAACTTGACGTGGAACTCGTTCAGGCCGCCCAGGATGGTCACCTCGTGCTTCGACTCGATCAGCTTGATCACATCGTTGTCCATGCGTCGCTTTCCGGCACTCGGCGAGGACATTTTGTTTGCTTGGGATCGGGCTTTTGATTTGATTGGTTTCGTTTGGTTTGGCTTTGCTTGCTTTTGATTTGATTCGGAGTGGTCGTCTCCTCGTTGTCTTTCTCTAAGGCTAAGGCGGTGTTCTGTTGGTTTTTTGTTCCTTCCGGATATTGCTATTGGGTTGCTGCCGCTTTCCGCTTTCGGTGGCCCTGCTGCTGCTGCTGCTCCTCCGCCTGCCTCGAACTGCTCCGCATTCGTCAACTCTCACTGGCGCCGTCCAGAGTAAAACGGGAGCTGCCTGCAAGTGGAAATTAAGGGAGATGAGGATAAGTACGTGAAGGTTATAGCTGTTTAAATGTTTATTAAAAATTTAATGATTTTTAAGAAAATAAAGGGACATTTTAAAATGCTTTTTCAGACCACTTTGAATTTTTAATGAAATAAAATAAATAATGGTACCACATTTAAAAAGGTCCCATATTTTTCAAAAGATAATCAATTTCGGAAAAAAAATTAAAACTTATCTATTTCCAAAATTTTTCTACATTACAGGCAAGTTTTTCCGCCAAAAGTTCCACCTTGGCAAGTGGGACTGTGGCGCCAAGGCGGGCGATATGATCTGGAGGAGGTCGTGTTACCTTCTGAGTTATCTATATGCTGTATATATATTTTTATTCATGGTTATGTGGGTCACCAGCGAATCTCTTGCTTTTGCACACACATACAGACACAACATGCACATGCATACTTGGCCTAAATGAGGAAACTATGTCAGCAATCTGTGACGTCGTCGCCAAAATCCTCCCACTCCCGCTCTCTCTCTCTCTCGTGCGCTTTCTTACTCACTCTCTAATACGTCATTGCCATTTGCAAAATTCGTCGTCCTTCGAAACGGATTTGCTCAGCGGATTTATGCTGCATACTTTCGGGATACCGTTATGCTCTATCCCCATCGCCACATCTCTCTTTGTTCTTTTCCCACTCACTTGCTCTTGGCGATTTCGTTTCAATTTCAATTCCGTGTTCCTTCAGCGAGGTGGGGTGGAAGGGGGTCGGGGTGGCCAGTTGATTGGTTGGGTGGCTGTTGTTTTCAAACAAGCTCAGCTGTTTAATGTTGTTGCTCGAAAGTCACAGAGAGAGAGAGCGAGAGCAAAAGAGAGGCAGCCCCACCACAATCTTGAAATCAACAAATGTACAGTGGAACCAACGATTAACCCGTTTGGATTTTAGAAACTTTAATTTAAAAATATTTTAAACAAATAGGAGCCAAAATAAAACGTAATTGATTGGGCTGAAAATTTTTCAAAAAGCACAAAACTTTAGAAAAATGATCATCAAATTATGTTAATTACAGAAATGATACTTATGGTTATTTTATAAACACTGTCAAGACATCACTTGGTAATATTTTAAAATAGACATTTCGGTTGACCCCACTGTGCTCCATTCTATGGTTCTCCCTCTCTCCCACTCTTGGGGATGAGCTAATTCTGCTGTTACTGCTGTTACTCTCTTGCACTTTGTGTTTGTGTGTGTGAGTGCTGGCTCTCCCTTTCTTTTTTTCTCCTTCTGGCCACCCCACATCAAAAGTTTTTCCGTTTCTGTCTTTCTGCCACGGTTTGGCTTCGTTAGCTTAACAAATTGTGAAATTCTCTTTCGATTTCAGCGTGTTGTTCGTGTGTGGAGGAGAATTGCTGTCTCTGTTGTTGTTGTTTTTGGGGCTTTACTGTACGCAATAAGCAAAGTAATACTGTTTCTCGCCGTGGTTGTTGTTGTTGTTATTATTTGCATTGCTTTTGTGTAAGACTTTTGCAAGTGTGCGTGTGTACTTGTGATGCGTCCACATGGAAGATCACCAAGCAACAAAGCAGCAGCAGCAACAACAAGACACAATTGAGAGTCAGCTGCAATTTGAAGCTTTTGTTGCTGTCTCTTGGAGGGGTCGCTCTTTCTATTGAAATCTGAATGCCTTCATTTTTGATATCACTATTGGCACACAAAGAATTTAACGAATACTTTTAAATAAAAACCTTTGACAAACACGCATTTTAAATGTCTATATACTTTTACACTTTTTGGTAACTTTGTTATTTACTTGCAACTAATGTTGTGGTTTTTGACGATGATGTTTGTTGTTCCTGGCCCTCCGTCTCTGCATATGTGAGTGTGTGTTTTCGTTTTCGCTCGTTTTGTTGTCTACTTCAACTAGTTACTGAAAATTAACTGGCAACAGAGTTTCGAGCCCCCAAAGCAGAAAGCAGAAAGCAGCGCACGTTGGAGCTCACGAGCATCTGACGGCGGCAGCGACGCCAGCATAAAGCAGAGAGCGACAATCAGGAGAGCAAGCGCAAAAGAGTGAGAGAGTGACAGCGGAAGGGGGGAGGCGGGGGCGGAGAGAGAGTTGGCTGAGTGCAGTACACACGAAGAAACACCTACCCCCTAGTTAAATTTTAAATATTTAAAAGCGTTAATTGAAAGGCTATGAAAAATATAATGTTGCTCATCTTCCAGGTTCAAAATATTTCATTGCATGCTTTTAGGTCCATATATATTTTTGCACACTTTTAATAGAGGGTATTATTAGTTCTCAGTGTAGAGGCCCCCTTCAAAGAAAAATCATAATAACAAAGCGATGAGCAACAACAAATTAGACGAAAAGAGAGCCCCAAAGCAAAGCAAAGCAAAGAAAAGCTATATCAAGGACAGCGACAGCTGTAAAATGCAGCAAAGGCAAAGCCACAAAAACAACAAGAAGCTAGAGAAAGAAATGGGGAATAGCAGCAAAAAAAAACCGAAGTGGCGATGCCCTTCAAAATTGCACACATGCGAATGTGTGTGTGGAGCCTAGCAACAAAATACACAAATATGTACATACCAAAAGCGATTGAAGGAGGAGAATTAACGAGGTCAAATGCAACGGTTTAACGAAGGGTTCGAAAGCAAAGTCAAAATCAAAGTCACAAATTAGGAAGACATCTTGCAGAATTTGTTTTTGCGTTTTGGCAGCCTCCCCCACACACACACACATAGTCACATTGGGTCATTGACTGCAAGTGTGTGTGTGGGTGTGGGAGAGGGGCAAAAAAAGGTAGCGAATTGTGTTCGTTTCAAAATTAAATGGCATTTAATTTATTACTTCGCTTTCGAGCGCACATTTAATTTTACGTGCTGATAAGACTTTTAAAACGCAAAACAGAGGGAGAACGCAATAAGCAGGCCAATAGCAAAGCAAAGTGCGTAGTTTTCGGGTAGGTGGGGTAGGGTGGTGTGCAAAAGGGATGGCAATAGCACAACAAAGAAAAGATTGCAACTAACGGGAGTTAAAGAGCTCCCCACATGCACACACACATACATACGTTCGTGGCTTAGGGTTTTCGAACAACGGTGAATTATTGGAAATAAAGGCAAATAACGGTTGGGAGTTTGAATTCGATTTCATGCAACCGAAATGCGAAATTAAGAGTGTGAGAGGGAGAGAGATGGAAAACATTCACAGCTGTGCGGGGGTCAAACTGCCATTGTTGTTGTTTTTATAGTTGCTCTTGTCGCAATCTCACCCACACACACACACGCAACCAAGAAACTCGCAAATATCCGTGATATTATTAAATGCAGTAATTCCATTTTTCATCAAACAATTATGCATACACACACACACACCCACCGTATATTCTGTACCTTTTCGTCGTTTTATTTTGATTTCTCTTGGTGTGTGTATATATTGGCAGTGGTCTCCCGTTTTAGTCGTGATGTTGTTATTGTTGCTCGTGGGTGGTGTTGTTGTTGTTGGCTGGCGACCGCCGTTGACTCTTACGCTTCGATACTTCTCCGCATTGTTTTGTTTTCCGTTAAAAGACCAAAGCCCTCTGAATGTCACTTAACAAGTTCTTTTAAAACTTAACTATTTTAAAGTCACGGAATTGATCACGTCGCGTCACGCCAATTCAGTGAGACCGGAGACGGAATGCGGGTAAAAACCGAAGCTCACCAGTGGAGGAATCACTTCATAGAGATGAGAAACTAGCCATTTTGGCTAGAATAAGCTAAGAAAAAGCAATCGATATCACGTTGTTGTTGCAGCAATTATCGATAAACTGGGGGCGTTACAGCGTTAACCAGCACTGTTATCGAATTTGAATTTGAAAAAATCGTAATGTAACCCCTTATAAATTTAACCCCTAAAAATTTTTAAATTTAGTCATTTTTCGCAAAAAATCGTGATGTAACCTTATAGCTGTAGGCCTTGAATTGTCCAAGCTACGACTAAAAAACCTTACAATAATCTCAAGTACAATACATAAGAAAACTAAAGGTTTAAATATAATGAAAGCTTTAAAGATTAAACACAATGGATTACTTGAATTGTTTTATTTATTATTTTCGTTTCTTACAATTGCAATTTCGTTTCGTTACATTTTGAATGCGCTTATTAAAACTTGTAATTTGTTTGGTTTTCTGTTTTTAGGATCTCTGTTTTGTGTTAAAAATGAGAGGATAACAATCTTTTAAATTATCTCTATTTGCTTGACGTAAAACGTGTTTGTTCTTGTTAACGTAGTACTTTTAAACATTAATTGTTTTTATTGCAGATTCGTGTACTTCTTTGCCTCATTGTTTTTGTTTTGTTTTATTATTGCAATTACCGAGAGTGTTATTTAAATTTAAATTTAAATTCAAAATCGAAAGGTACAATTTGTGGTTAATATTGGTTTTAGTTTCTGATTTAGTTTTAGTTTAGTTTATAACTGTTTGTAAATATCCCTTTTCGTTATGAAACTTGGCAAATTAAATTCGTTCATGCATCAGCAGCTTTTCAAATTCTCAGTTTTAAAATAAGATCCAATGGGAAATGTTCGAATAGATATTCCTAGATGAATGTTTTAATATCATGCTCATGCGTTTTTGATTAAAATTGGTTGCCTAAACAATATAACAATGAGGACCTCTCCAACGTAAAAAAGAAAGTAGATCGCATTTGTCTAAGGGGAAAATCACATTGGATATTATTTCGAAATCGACAATTTCGTAGTTACATCAACTATTATTATAATCCGGGCTCAAGCGATTTTTAAATTCCCTCCTATGCTACAGGCAGTGTTTCCAAAGCCACTATTTGTTAACTGGCGTGCGTGACAACTTAAAAAGTTTATTGCTTCTTCGTTATAGTGGCTTTTATTAAATTGGAATGATAGCAGGTAACAAAAGCCAATCGAAAACAATGATCCAATGTGGTTTCCGCCCCTAAAATCATTATCTCATGGCTGCAGGGGGTTAAAATGTTCATTTTCCTTCCTTTTACTTTTTATTTTAATTTCGTTGTTTTTTTTTTCTTTTAAGTTGGATAACTGTGACGCAACAATAACAAAGAAAGGCCAATGAAATCTGTCTAAAACTATTTATGCTTGTCGATGAGTGTATGTGTTTATATAGAGATAGATATAACAATTCCCAGCGGATCTACCCTTAATAAATACAAATACATGAGGATCCTATGTCACTTGAAAACTATTCACTAAATAACGTACAAATGCAAGATAACTGCTTGAAAATAATATTAATATTTCCTACCGTAAATAAATATAATTTAAGGGTTCCGCTGGGAAATTTGTTTTGTTATTTAGCTTGAGAAATAGTGAGAGAGATATAGAGAAAAAGTGGCGTATGCCCCGGGATTAAAAAAAATATATATTTTAAAAACCTATCATTTCTGAGCAATAAAACTTATGAATACAGATCATACAGATTCCAAAATGCATACGCCACTGCGTGTGTTTTCGTGTGTCTTTCAGCGAGGGAAAATTGCAAATGGGTGTCCTTACTTTCAATGCTTTCTGCAGAGCGTTCCGATCCGCCTCAATTTCCAGCCTGCCTAGCCTAGCCTCCAATTAATATGTATTTGAGCTTTAACAATTGTCAATGATTTCCTGTTCGGCCTAGTTCTCCTCCTCATAGATTATATAAACAAATTTAACATTATATGCTCGTTACATTCGAATCGATTTGGATTTTTGCTAGCTGCAAATATTTTCTTGTCATACATCGTTAATATATCAATTGTTTACTTGTAGATTACAATTAACCTTCCATTCGCGTTTGTCATGAATGTATATTTTCATTATAGGTGTATAATTAGGCTATAAATATCTTATACTTTGAACGCATTCGCTCGTTCTTTTTTTTGCGCTTGGTTTTATATGTCAAAATTTTGAATTCCAAATAAATTGGCAATTATAACTACAAAAATTTAAAAGTGAGGCTGATTTTTGACTTTGTTTCTGGCTAAAATTGTCCCTGGCTAAATTCTAAATTAGTGAAATCATCCTAAACTGGGGATAATTTAGTGTTAGACCTTCTTTCGTTCTTTTGTCTAGATGTTTACGGATACGCTATTGGGTATCATCTCTATGAGGTTGCATCTACTCCACATGCAACTAGTACATTTGTCCTGCTTACAGACTATGTTCATAAGATATATGTAGAGTTCCCCCTCGATCTGTTCTGAATTCTGAGCTCCGAGGGCTTTCCGAGACCGAGACGCTAAACAAATGCGCAACAATTCACTGATCGAATTTAAAATAATCTACGAATTTACGGTTGGCTCGCTTTCAACGGCTCGCCTCACTAGCAACGCTTTACAATTTTGGTTTCCCTCCGTATTTTGGTTTGGGTTCTCTAAGCCTTGAACAGCTGCGGGAACTCGTTGGCTATCTCCCGCACCAGCTGTTGATCGGAGGCACTGCACTCGGTCTCCTCGCAGAAGATGCGCGTGAAGATCTTCATGAGATCGTGCTTGCGGTGCTGGTGCTCCTGATAGTTCGTGTTGCGCAGGATGCGTCGGCACAGCTCCAAGTAGCAGGGTCGCGTCTGGAATGAACAGGTGAATAAGTAACTGAAGGGTTTTACGATTTATGATCTATCCTCAGAGACTCACCGAACTACCGGCATCCAAGTCGGACAGCTGGCGAACCACTATGTCGATGAGCACCTTGATGTCGTTCGTGTAGAACATGCCCGCCGTGTCCGGATGGCTGAATATGTCGATGAACATCCGCAGCACCGTGTTCATGTGCTCGTTGGGATGCTTTAGCAAGCGTGTTGGATCATCTGGTTAAAAATAACTTTGATTACTACAATTTTCCCTTAAATAAATACATTAGATATTACTCCTAAATAAAGAGCTTGAAAATGATCGATATTTTCGATATTTTGACAATATTGATTCGATAAAATCGATAAATAAAAGGGAAAACACAATTTAAATATCGAGAAAGAGCAAACTGTCGATATATTTTCAAGCTCTTCCTCAAACAGTAAATTTAAATCAACCAATTGCTTAATTCAGAAACCCATTTAAAAATATTACAAGTTTTTAAATAGAAAGTTATAAGCAAAGATACATATACTTAGAAATATTAAATTATATTTAAGTTAAATGGATACTATTTACAACGTTTTTAAACTAAATCATCGCTACTTACCCTCTCGATTGAGCAGCAGCAGCAGCTTCTCCGTGAACACCTTGGCTGAGGGCAAATTCTGCATGCCCTCGATGATGACATTGAAGGTGTGCTCGCTAAACTGCTGGTTGAAGGCCAGTATCAGGGCAATAACCATGTCCACCAACAGCTCCGGATTGTTTCCCTCGACGATTTCCAGCAGGAAGCTGGCAAAGTGGACGCCCAAATAGTCTGCAAGGCATAATACATAAGAATTCGATGCGAAGAACTCACCGATCAATTCAAACTCACCCTGATGATTGACCGGCATGGGCTGTCCCAGCGAGAAGATGATGGTCAGCATCTTGACCAGCTGCTTGAAGCGATCCAGATTGGAGAAGTGCGTCTTCATGTCCTCCACCTAGAAGTGGGATTATATTATATCACATATATCGTATTATATTCAGTCAAATCTCTGATTCTGCTTACAATCTCCAGGGGCAGCACCGAGGTCAGCAATATGTCCACAATGATGTAGTCCAGATGGCAAGCGGCCGTGAAGGTCTTGAGCAGCAGCCGCTTGATGGACCAGCGCGTCTCCATTTGGTAGTACTGCACCAGATTGATGAACATCTGGTACTGATCGCAGGACATCTCGTAGCAACTGATGCTCTCATCAGCGTTGATCTGTAGGGAGTAACATTTAAATGTATTACAGAAATATAGTCAATATTCATATTCAAACATCGATATTATTGAATCACTATTATCAAAATATCGAAAATATCGATTATTTTAAAAATCTAACATTAAATATTACCAAAGAGGGATTAAATTGATCAGTTTTCAATACGAGTTGTTCTATATTTCTCAAGCAACTCTCACCAGAATTCAGAAATATTCAAAATTCATATTCTCGATATTTAATTGGAGTTTTAGCATCAAAACATCGATATTATCGAATCAATATTGGTCAAAATATCGAAAATATCGATTATTTTAAAGATCTAAAACTAATCTGATCCATTTTGAATACGAGTTACTTAAAATTTCTTAAACAAAGCTCACCAGAATCTCGACGAGCTCCTCGAGGAACTGAATGATATCCTCCTCGTCCTCGTAGAGCATCCAGGTGCGCTGCTCCGTGTCGTTCTTGCAGTCGGCCAGCTGGGCGAAGAGGTACTGCAGCCGCTTGGCGTCGTGCGTGATGCCCAGCAGCTCCTTGGGCGTGGCCACCTTCCCGGTGACATGGACGGCCACCGCCTCCAGATACGGATTGATGGCCCCGTTGTACAGCTGCTCCAGGCTGGTCAGCACCACGCGCAACGCCTCGCAGGATAGATCGAAGCTGAGGTTGGTGTTCCGCCGCAGTGCGTCCACAATCTGATAGACATCCGAGGACTCGACCTTCAGCTGCCCACCGCCCGTTGCCCCTCCCTCCTCGATCCTGCCCAGACTCATTCCGCGCTGCCCGCGGTGCGACGGACTGTCGATGCTGTCCAGCGCCTGGCTATTGTCCGCACTATCGCCGTTCGCCTGGCAGCCGCTGGCATCCTCCGACTTGTCCGGCGCACTGTCCGCCTCCTCCGGCTGCAGCTCCTCCTGGTGCAGGGCCGCCGTGCTCCCGTTCTGACCATTCCCATTGCCTCCATTGCTACTCCGTAAAGCTGAGGCGGAAATGGACGCAGAGGCGGCAGAGGCAGTGCTGCCACCGTTCGGCGGCTTGTGCTGCTGGCTTGTATCCTTGTATGTGGTGACCACATCCTCGCTGGTCGTCGTCGTGGTCGTTGTCGTCTCCGAGGGCTCCGAAGTGATGCTGTTGTCCTGCGCCACATCTCCGCCGGCGGCTGCTTTGCTCGACGATCCCGATGCCGCCGATGCAGTGGGCGTGGCTGGCGAGGGCGATGGAGCTGGTGCTGGCGGTGCCGGGAGTGGCTGCTGCTGCTGCGGCGTCTGGATGGTGCAGCTGCTGCCCTGGAACTGCATGCTGCCCATGCTGGGCGACTCAATCATGCCCTGACTTTTGCCCTGACTGCACGAGGAGCCCACCGCCGGACTGGACATGCTCTTCTTGCTCATGTCCAGCCGCTGGGAGCCACCGCTGCCGCTCGGCGGCGGACTGTGCTGGCGGAGCTGCGTCTGCGACTGGGTGGGATGGGGATGCGAGTGCCGGTGGCTGCTGCCCTTGTCGCTGTAGCTGTGCGAGTAGGACAGCGAAGAGTCGCCGTCGCGCTCGGAGCTCTCCGCATAGAGTCGCTCCATGGTGTGCTTCTTCTCGCGCAGCCTGTCCAGCAGCTCGTCCTTGGACATGATGCCATTGATCTCGTGATCCGTGCACTTTTCCAGCGATTCTATGGAGGAGTTTAGAAAGCTGATGAGGAAGTCGTGCTCCACCTGTGGGGTAAAGTATGTAAATAACTCTCCTAACATCTTGTTAAAGGTTTAAGCACCCACCTTAATCTTCATTACGTAATTGGAGGGCACAAAGCCAATGTTGCCCTTCATGCTGACCACTTGCCACCAATTGCGCTGGCGGGCGGATGTCTGGTACAGGATGAAGTACTCGCCCTCATCGAAGCTAATGGTCTTGGGATAGACCGCCTGGAAGTCGTACAGCGCCTTCAGCATCTCGATGCCTGTGCCGATGCCCAGACCGATGTCACTGGCTTCTCCTCCTGGTCCACTGGGGCCACTGGATCCCCCTGCTGCCTCTGCTGTCGCTGGAATTTATATTAATTCGAAAAACCAAGCTTTAATTGATAGGAATTTCAAAGAGGGGCTTGGAAAATTGAAAAATTTCCCAGCCAAGGGGCGTCGGCACTCACACAAGAACACACGGGAAAAACTGCAGCAAAAAAAAAGTGAGTTAAGTTCACTGCCGAGGGCCAAAAGTCGGACTGCCGACGGATTTGATTTGAGTTTTTCTTCTACTGTAATCTCTTCTGGTAGCGACTAAACTGCACTGCCGAATTCCGCAGGACTCACGCACACAGACAGGCACGGACAGGCACGGCGAACGGACAAACAGGATACTCCTGCTGCTGGAATTTTTAATAGAGCGCCCCCACACAGGAAGAGGAAAATGCAATTTTCATATTTCACTTGCGCTCGCTCGCTCACTCTTCCTGTCCTTCCCGTTTCTGCTTTCTGCTTCTGCTTTGTGCTTTGTGCGCTGCTTTTTGGTCCTGCAACAACGCCTTGCGCTTTTGATCCTTTTCAGCTTACATTGTTTTCCCCACAAACACAAACACGCCCGAGAGAGCCACGTGGCTTCTGCGCTCTCCGCTCTCGCGGCTACACGGAGAGAAAAGTTTAGATTCTAAAATATCATTTAAATTATAATAATTATAAACTATTATAATCTAACTATTTAGCTACATTTCAATTTTAGTGTTTAGAGCAGCTACATCTCGAGTTCAAGCTTAAGAATTTTTTTTTTTAATATTTTTAAAAATCCTTTAAAATTTCTCCCTATGCTCTTGTTGTTGCTTTGTGTGAAAATCTCAACACGAATAAATCCGTTTCAAAACACAACGGCCCCTCCACTGCCCCGCCCACTCAAGTTTTCTCTCTCCACGCGCGCGCATTTCCCTCTCTCTCAGGATGTCCTTGCAAGAGCGAACCGGTTCATAAATTAGCCACTGAATAACGGTACTAACAACAGTAATATCAAGAGTTCACTTTTCTTGATTGAAATATAAAATATCTAGTAAATTATTAAAAATGAGAGCTAGCTGGGAGTAAAAGGACGTGCTTTTAAAACATTTTTATTTGTAAACATTTTTTTAAATGCTTACTTTATAGATTATAAATATTTGTCAATAGGTAAAATGAACTAGATCATAATAAAACTTAAACTTAAAAATTAAAGGGGATTGAATGAGGATTTTAGAGTCACTAAAGAGTTCATGAAGATGTCAAATGATATCTGATAAATTTAACTTTAAGAATGATATTTTGAGTACTAGCAAAGATCGATTTATAAAGGATCTGCTGGTATTTGTATGATATATTTCAAGCTTCCTTGGTCGTTTCACACCGATTCCGGAACTGTCAAGTGCCGTTTTCGAGGACTAATGATTCCGGAACTTGTCAAAGGACCTGCTGGACTCACACACACACACAGACGCGCCGCAAAAGCGGAAATAATGTATGGAAATGCGACAATGGGGACAACAAAAAGGAGGTGAAGAAAACAGAATATTCCCGCCCACTTACCCATCTTTTTGGGCGCACCTTTTACTGTAATTGCGTTTGTCGGTTGTTGTTGTTGTTGCTGCTGCTGTTGTATTGTTCCTGTTGTTTGTTGTTTCAGACGTCACCTATCCTTCGTCCTGCTGCCTCCTCCACTTCCGCTGCTGACGTCCACGAGCCAAGGACGTTTGCATACGTACTCTTCTTTTCGTCCTGCCGATGGGCGTGTTTCTCTTCCTCTGCTCCCCCGCTCCTCTCTCCTTTGTGCTGGATGTCCTTTTCGGGCGACTGTTAGTTCCGCTGCGCCATCACTTGTTGTTGTTCCCTTTGGCCGCCGCACGCGAATGTGAAATGAAATTCACTTGATTAATTTCGATGATGCGAGATGCGAAATGGGCGCTGCTGCTGCTCTCGCCAAATGCGATGCACTTGTTTTTGTCTCCTTTTCTCGCCTGTCTATGTGTCGCCGGCGGGGGAGGGGCGTATAGGGCCATACAGTGATCACTCGATGAGGTGAACTATAAAAACACAAAAATCCAACAACGGAAAGTGTTATGGATTTATTTATTATTTTGTTATCTGTTCAAAACAGTATGTATTTTTGGTGTAGGACCATTTTTGGCCCAGATCCCGAACTTTCGACACAAAAATAGTTCGTTTTTTGGCCGAAACAATGGAAATATAGATCCAAATATGGATTAATTTAAATTAATTTTTTTCAAGTGTGCTAACAAAAAGTTTAAATAATCGAGAGTTCACTTTATAGAGAGAGCACTGTAAGCCGAATGGGGCAACGCATTGTTGTTGTAAAGCGTACGTATGTATGCTCCACACCCTGAAAAAAGCCGCAACACGAACGACACACACAAGGGTTAACGGTGGCCAGAGTTTGTTTATATTTTGTTTTTAACAAGCAATTAATAAGGCCAGCCCGAAACAAGCACTCCGTAGTCACACTAACCAAGTGTTCTTCAAATTACCAACTTGCAGCCGCGGAATCAACAAATTTACAACAAAATTATCCAATCACTTGTTTTTATTTCGGTATTTTTTTTTTTTTGTTATTTTTTCTCTGCATTAGAGGTGGGGCATGCCGGCCTGTTATCGTTATCGATTTCAGACTTCGGCGGGCTGCCAACCTGGCGCCTGAATTCAAAAGGAAAAAGCTTTTCCCTTTGGTTTTTAGCAAAACGTATTTTTATTTGCATTGAATATTTGACAGTACAACAGGGTGGCTTATATAAAAATACTGTTTATAGGGGCAAGCAAAAAAATGGATTCCGTTGGTTTCGTTATAAAAACGTTCGATTAAATGCTAGCAAATTTTCTTCGGTTAAACGTTTTGCCTGTGGCACAATTTACTTAGTTTTTTATCCTTCGGTTATAACTGTTTCGGTAATTTTAGCTATTTTAGTCTACATTTCGCAGGGGAAACCCTCGGGTGATAACGTTAACTAGGCGTATATCCTATATAAGTACAGTTTATTCGTTTCTAGAAGGCATCTTATCAAAAGTCCCTAAGTCACAGACGACCCAATTCTATTCATGTGTGTATTTTAAAGATTCAACAATTTTTTCCGTTTATTTGCTTGCTTGTGGTCACAATAAATCATAATCGCATCATAATGGTGAAACAATCACATACACAATAAATTATAATAGCACAAGTGTGGTTTTTAGTTATACTTATCATATCTAGTTTAATAACAGCAGGCCACTTTTCGACATATGTGTGTTTTGGGTGTGTATTTGTGTAAATATATCTATTTAAAAAAAAAATAAACAACTTTCCATTGTACTTGCATTTATAAGAATAGGAATAATATAATAAATATATATGATGTAAACGAAAACAAACAGAAATACGCTCTTAACCTTGCCTCGCTTTGAACTATATGTATTCATATTTCTTTTTTGTAGGTCTTGTGGAACGGCACTTGGTTGAGATTAATGTTCTTGGCGTTGCTATATAGTAGATTTCGTAGTTCTCTCTCTTTAAGGATCCCGAAATTCCAGACGAGAACGTGGTGAAGCGGAGGATATCCTGGCTGGCAGGGGATGCCCGGAAACGTAGGGATCCCCATGTGCCCCATAACCATTCCTCATCAATCCATCTGTCTGCCTGCCTCTCGTTTCTCATTTCCAAAGGCCACGCACGGCCGCAAAACATTTGTCCACAATCTTGGATCTTGGTGCACGCTAATTGTTAATCCGTTTTGAAATTATGCTATAAAATGAATATTGATAAATGTTGCTCCATATATCCGTTCCGTTTCGTTTTGCCGTTGCCTCTGCCTTTTGCCCTCAACATTTATGCCGCACTACATCCAAACGGACCCACAAAACCCGAATCACATGCGCCGGCCACCTTTGGCCAGCTGCGTTGGACGCGTCCGCAGCGCGCTCCTCGATCATTTCTCCTCGCAGCAGCCGTTCTTGGCCAGCTGCTTCTGCAGCGCCGGCGGAATGAAGTCTTTCGTCTTCGTCTTGGAATGATAGCCCTGTCCGAGCAGCGCCGGCTCCACCTGCTTGCCCTCCTGGATGCCCTGGATGCGCTTCAGCAGATCGTAGTTGATGCGCTCGCTCACCACGGAATCTTGCCTGGTTAGCAAAAGATTTGGGATTAGTTTAAGATCAGAGAAATTTATAGAATATAACCCACTTGTAGTCCGGGTGGCTGAGCACCTGCTCGCGCATCCAGGTGGCCGTGGTGATCAGCTCGCCGGCGGCACGCTTCTCGATGAAGCGCAGATACTGCTCGATGGTGCAATGCGTGTCGGTGTCCACCTCCATGGACTGCAAGTAGCTGCGAATCAGGGGCACCAAACCGGGAAACACATTGGTCTGTAAAGAGAGTATTTAAAAGATAAGTATCTGCTTGGCTATTAAGGATAATAATCACTTACCTTGCCATTAAAGATCTCGTTGATGGTCAGCAGCTGGAACAGCTCGTTTTCCTCGTCATCGGTGTCGGTGTGATCGCTATCTGCGCCATTGCTAGAGCCATTTGAGGTTCCATTGGTGGTGCCGTTGGTGGTGCCATTGGTGTTGCCGTGGCCGTTCAGCTTGGCCGAGCCGTTGGTCAGAGGCTGCTGCTCCTGCTGCTCCCCATTCTCGCTGCCATTGCCATTAGCCAGCCCGTTGCCATTCAAGGTGGCCTTGCCATTGCTTTGGCCATTTGCTTTTGCTTGAGCTTGAGCCTGCGCCTTGGCCGCCCGCTGCTCGGTGGTCTTGGAGGATTTGCGGAACCAGAACTTCTCCTTGCGACAGGCATCCCGCTTCTGGGCCGTCTGCATGTTCTCGTCCACCTTGCTGATCGGCGTGAGGAAGTTCAGCTGGTAGGAGAGGATCACGCGGGTGAGCAGCACCACAAAGCAGACGATGGCCGCGTTCTCAAAGTCGCTGATCTGCGCCTCGCAGGGCCTAAACTCCACGCGCCATCCGATCGAGCTGTTCGGCGGCGGCGGCTTGAAGCGCATCGTCTGCCAGTTGGTCGACTGGATGTTCTCGAAATGATCCGTGTCCTCGTTGTCGTTCTGGTGCACTTTCTCGCTGAACAGCGAGACGGTGTCGCGGATGAACAGGTGGGCCACATGCTGGGCCAGCAGATGATCGATGCCGCCCTCGACCAAACGCTGATAGACCTTCTCGTCGTAGGTCAGCGGCACATCGTTGTACTTGGCTCCCTCGGGCGACAAATACGAGTCAATCGAATCGTATCGCGACTTGGCAATCCGGAACTTTTGCTTGTCCAGCGGCGCCAGTCCGCGCTCCTCCTCCGTGCGGCAATCCACCGACGAGCTGATCACATTCCAGCGGCAATCGGACTCCGTGAGGTAGCCCCTGTAAATGGGCGAGGCGGCCGTCAGGGCCAGCATAATGGGGCACAGGGGAGCCAGCTGGTCGTAGAGACGCCGCGCCTCCGTGATGTTGCAGGCCTGGAAGGTCAGCTGCAGGCAGCAGCAGCCCATGCCGAAGCCCATGGCGTCCAGGAGCACGACGTCGGGCTCACCAGGCGGAGCTCCCTCCACCGGCAGCTTGGTCTTCGTGTCCTTGAAAACTGCAAGGGGTAAAAAGGGAATGGGTTAACTAGTTTCTTTTTTGAGTTGGTTCTAAACGATGCAGCAGCAGCTGTTGCTTCATCGTTTACAGCAGCTTAAGCTTCATCGTTTACAGCAGCTTAAGATTCAACGTTTACAGCAGCTGCTGCTTTATCGTTTACAGCAGCTGTTGCTTCATCGTTTACAGCAGCTGAAGCTTCATCGTTTACAGCAGCTTAAGCTTCAACGTTTACAGCAGCTGATGCTTCATCGTTTACAGCAGCTTAAGATTCAACGTTTACAGCAGCTGATGCTTCATCGTTTACAGCATCTCATGCTTCATCGTTTACAGCAGCTGTTACTTCATCGTTTACAGCTGCTAATTCTTCATCGTTTACAGCAGCTTAAGCTTCATCGTTTACAGCTGCTAATGTTTCATCGTTTACAGCAGCTTATGCTGTTGCTTCATCGTTTACAGCATCACTACCTTCATCGTTTACAGCAGCTAATGCTTCATCATTTACAGCTGCTAATGCTTCATCGTTTACAGGCCTTAGCTTTACTTACCCTTCAGCTTGATGGACACCTTCTCGCCGCGTCGCTTGCGAATGTTACGGGTGAGGGTCTTGAAGCGCGGATGCCCCGGAAAGATGGCCTCGTCCGGGAAGTAGAGCGAGCGGGCCGAGCTGAGCGGATCCTCGGGACGCGGCTGGGCCAGCGGAAAGGTGAAGTTGGGGGCGCCGAGGCGCGGGAAATTCGTGATGGACATGACGCACTCGTCCTTGGCCAGCAGCTCGGTGACCTCCTCGCGACGATAGCGCATATTGGCCTCGACCAGATTGAAGTGGGCCATCAGGCCGCCGAAGGGCTTGCCGGGCGTGCCCTCGATCATGTAGGCACCGTATTCCGGACGCCACAGCGACTTGACGCCCTTCGGATCGGCCAGCTCCTTCTCGTTCAGCTCGGCGAGGAGGTCCTGGGCACGCAGGGCCACCCGGGCCACCTGCTGCTCATCGTCGAACTTGACTATGATGTACTCCACCTCGTCGCCCCACTTGAGGATGTCGCCCTGGCGATCCTTGAGTCTGTGGTACAGGTTGATGAACTGGTTGACGCCATGCTCGCGGACGTGATCCGCCAGTGCCTTGGTCTCCTCCCAGGAGAGTGGACTGCCCTCGCTCAGTAGACCCATTGCTGCAAGGATATTGGAAGAGGGGAATATATAAATTAGTTAATGGGAACTTCTTTCGCTGGGTCAGGACCTTTTAATTTAGCTGTGTGTTTACTATTTGTTTGTGTATTTGCCGCCCCTTTGCCGATCCAAACCGTTCCGGCGTGACGTCTGGGATAGACTACTACGACTACTGCGCCATTATCACCCGGAATTCCAGCCTTCCACCATTCTCTCCCCTCAGTTTTCATTCCCATTTCCATTCCAACTCGCATTGCACATTGTGCAATCGCATTCGAAACATAGAAAACTGCAATCGATGCAATTGCAATTTGTAATTTGCATTTTCAATGCAATTGCATAAACAATATGACTGGGCCACGCACGGCGAGAAAAACTTTAAGGAAGGAAGAAAGTCTCGATTGTTTTGATTCTCCTTATCGATTCGATTCAAAATCTAATCAATACTAAATAATAACATTGAAATACAGTCTTACTTTTAAAAAGCAAACCATTAAAGAAGCATGAGGAATTAAAAAAAATTATTATATTTATATCATATATTATTAAAGACACATTAAAAATTGTTGCTTGTAAACGATGCAGCGACCTTTGGCAATAACTGAATATATTCACCATTTATTAATCGAATTAATGTTCAAAGATGTTAGGCCTCTATTTGAATTATTTAATTGATATTAAAAATATTACAAAGAAGTATAGCCCATTAATACTTTTGTTAAATGTGAATTTTAAAAAAGAATTGCTTGTAAACGATGCAGCGGAATATATTCACTATTTATTTAATCGAATGACTGTTCAACATTGTTTAGCCTATATTTCACAAAGAAGTAAACCCCATTTAAACTTTTGTTTAATGTGAATTTTAAATAAGAATTGCTTGTAAACCAATGCAATATTCATTTAATCGAATACACAATAATCACTAAATATTTCTCTCTGTGCAAGCACGCTTAATACTTAATACCTCGTCTTCGCCGATCGAGGCGAATGCCCTCCGCTTGGCCCACCTCCGATTTCAGTTGAAATTTCAGTGCCCATTCCCCCGAAATCAATTAATTTATCTACCTACATATACGTAACGCCACAATATCTTTCGGCACAAGTGCATTCGTGTGCCGCACTGAGTGCATTATTTTGTTTGCTCCTTGCTCTTGACACTCGCACAATTTACAACATTTGACTCAATTAATTGATAAGCGGCGACGACCAAATATTAATCAAATAATTGATAAGGGGCTGCGGCTTTGGCAGCCTTTGGGTATAATTCCACAACCGTGTGCCGCGATCGGACGTATGTACATTGTACATGTGGAAAATATATAATATATGTATATTTAGACAGCCGACAAGTTGCCGTGCGCCACTCGAACTGATTGAATCATTCGGGGGAATCGGAAATTTCAGATCGCAGATTTACGACCGGCACCACAGCACTCAAAAAAAAAGCGACAAAAACACACAGTCCACTTCACTTGACTTCACTTCACTTCACCCCATCCGATGATATCCGATCCCCACCAGCTTCCCCCAAATCAAAGTCAGAATGACAGACCAACTAACGCCCAGTGGAGCGTATATACACTCTATAATGTCTATTGTAAAACCCGATCGTGGCCAAAAATCCATCTGAATTACAATGGAATTTGGAGCAACAGTTTCGAGTTCTTGACACGATTGTGCAATAGTTAAAATCTAACCCTATTATAATTGAACAAATCTCTGAGAGTCTGGAAACAAAACGAAGAAGTCGAATTGTTTCTTGTACTTACGGAAAAAGGCTTTGAAATAATTCATGGTTTTAATGAAATAAAAACCAGTCTATAATGATTCTATACAATTTATTTTAAATTTATTCCTATAAAATATCATTTTTAATCATTGTCTTTAAGATCTTTCTTTGGCTTGAAGTTTTATCCTGGTAAAGAAAATCTTTATAATGTAATGTACTGTATATTCTATTTATATCCCAATTTAACTTTAATAATTTCCCTATTAACTTCAAATTTTAAATAGTGTTTTATAGCTTTGGTTTAATCCTAATATCCTTTACTTATTTAAAAATCAAACATCTATTAGATATTGAAACTACTTTTATTACTAAACAAGAAATAAAAATGTATCTATACTAGCAATTCCCTACAGAAAACTAATATAATTTTTTAAGGATATAAAGAATACTTCACCTAAACTGTAATATAAATTCACTCAAAAAAAAAGATTTTCTATCACTAAAGTTCACTTTCGTTAAGGATACCTTTTTTATTTCCTTTATGTGGATCTCCCGTCGCTTAATTACACTTGCCACTTTCAATTGGAATTGGAATTGTCCAATATCCGTTTCTTGGTTGCAAAATGCCAGATACCAGAAGGTTTTGGTCGCTCCACGGCCAAACACCGACTAAATATATACGCGGCCAGACTCCAGCTTTTCACGGAGCGCTGCGCTGCCGATGTCGATCGGATCGGTTGACGACGAACCGAAGAATCCGAATTCCGACTGATAGCTTGCCTGGTTTACGGGGTTTACTGGGTTTACTGGGCCCGGTGGGAAGCCATCGACAGAGCGGAAGACCAAGGAATATGTGGAGCAGGGGCTGGAGTTCCTATCTGGACGATCGGCCATAAACGGACTCGAAAACCAACCTAAACGAACCAATCCATAAATGATCCATGGAGCACGGGACGCACTCGAAACGATCGAGTGCCATTATAATTATTTGAGCAGTTATTTATTATATTTAGAATTACTCGACAGGCGAATCTGGTAATCAGCGAGAAGGGTTTATTATATATATTAGTTATAGTACATATTTATAGATTTCGGGGGCTTTGTTGGCCTAGCTGATTTACCACCGCCGCCGCAATCTTTATTGGGAGGGGGATGGGGATGGGGGAAGGGGCCCACAAAATACTCCCGGCCGACATCGGAATTGTAAATAACTGCCAATCAAGTTTCGGCAACTTTATAATATTCAATGCGACGGAGAGGAAACGCATAGATTTCAATCAATTGCCCCCAGTATATCATATGATTCGACTTCGGTTCGCTACTAAATCCGTACATGATTCAATCTCAAAAGGCTCTGTGAAATCGGAGAACAGGTAGGTATTTTCAGGTAGTATCGTTGAAAACTCTGCTCCCGTCGCAGGTGGAATTCGGAGAACCCGAACCGCAAGTATATTTCGAACCAAATAAATTACAGGAACTTGAACCAGAAATATCTCTAAACTCGAATTAATTTGATATCCCAAATGGCACCAGTTTCACCCAGAATTTATCGTCATAACTTGTAGACTTTGTAGTAACTTGGGTAATACGATCCATCAGCCTATTTAGAAGATAATTTGATATCCGCATTCGGCCTTCAGAATTCAGGGACATTTATGTACATATTATATTTCGAATGGTTTATTTATATCGATTGCCTGATTCAAGACTTATCATCTTAACCCCTGCTCCTCTGGAATTTCCTATCTGGCCGCTTATCATTATTTTTTTTGATTCTATTATAACAGGCTAATTAATCTTTCCATCAATCGGCGGTATGCCCACCTCAGCCGACTGTGCTTTATTTATGAATTTGTACGATCCAAAACTAAATACTTATCGTCTTAATTCGTGCACTTTTGGAACGGAGTCTCCTATCACAGCTGGCAACCAATTGATTAGGAACTCGAAAACAAATCAACAAGATTTGAAACGAAGGAGTGCTCTCGAGTGGACACTTGTGCGGGTTTATCAATGGGTATCTTCCTTCTGGGTTCTGAGTTCTGGGTTCTTGATTCTTGATTCTTGGCCCGGAAAAGTTCGTAAAAGATAGGGTGGTTGGGTTGATTTAATGCCTGACTGACTTACTGCGACGATGCAAATGCGCTTAGATAAGTCTCAGTTGCACAAGCATGCTCAGCTCGTACATACTTGGATGTATAGGGTTATATAGGGTTAGATAAGGGGCCCCATACCCAAGTGCCCCTCATTTGGTAATTGCATTTCGCTGCGGGGTCCCAGGTCCCAGCTTTTATCTTTCACTTGGGATTAGGCAAATTACTGGAAGGTAAGTCACCGCCTTTATAACGAGTATGTAGTTATAATCGTTAGGAATTTTTCCATTTACAATGTACCGAGATTATTTTACTTTGTAGCTCTTTAATATATTGTTTATTCTTTTCTATTATTTTATATTTTTGTTTCTGCTACAATTAGCATTATAATTCTAAATTTAAAATGTTTTTTTTTTGTCGATTTTTGTTTGTTAGCTTTCGGGGCTGTTAATTAATGTGCAAATTGTGATTTTAGCACGTTCGCCTTAATTGCAACGTCACCGCCCTCATATATCTCTCGAATGTAAATGCCTAGACCCATAATTATTATATGTCCGCCGAGAATCTCTGGTGCCTGATTTCTGATTTCTGATCCTGACCAACGCAATCGAAATCGCCGAAGGGCAGAGCCACACAATGATTTTCAGTTTTAATTCTTATTTTTGTATTTCTTGCGATTTTCCTTTTCTGCCGTGTCATTTATGAAAACAGTAAGCGGAGCCGAAATGATACCATTTTGCGGGTGTGTTTGTTAGATTTTAAACTACGCAAAAATGGCCTAGAGAACTAGAACTAGAGGATGAGTGAGTCATTTTTCGATTTTGTGTGGCCTTTTTGTGCAGTACACATTACAAAAAACCATAAAAAGACAATTGGGAAGTCGCATAACTGACCGACCGGCTGACTGATAAGCCGAGTTCATAAGACGCGGCATATGGTCAACTGATTACAACTCTTTATCGATTGCTATCGAATTCGTGTGAAATTCCGCACGGCATTTCGGCTATTGAAGGTTTTCCCATTGCGCACTACACTGCGTATACGCAATGTGATTTTTTTTGTTTTGTTTTTGACACTTTCAAGGGTCTTCGAATGGCGTCGCCCAATCACCCAGTCAATCACCAGTCATAAAGCACATGAACATGATCCTCGAACGGAAACCAAGCGAATCGGAACA